CAAAGCAGCAAAGCAACAGCTACCCAGGCGTTTTTTTTTCAATCCCACCTGACCCAGCTGAACAGCATGTTCTTCCGGCATTTGTTTTCAAACTGCTCCCAAACCCTTGTAACCCCCTGTTTGCACATGAAAACGTACCAAGAATGGGTGTCTCACCCACGCCGGGTTTTCAACAGAGCAAAACCCCCTACGACGGTCTTTCGTGCAACCTGCCATGCAGCTTTGCAATTTCTCATGCTTTCTTCTGTTTGCAAATTCCAAGCCCAGACACCATTTTGGGGCATATCCCAATGCTGGATACATTTATCAGTCATGTTCCGATGTGACGCCAAAATATCCGGGCAAGAGATTGGTGAAGGCATGGGAGAACTGTGTGTATGAATCGACAAGAGCACGCACCTCGTGGAAACGGCTCAAGAATGGTTGGCTACCTGCGCTGGGTGCCTTCTGTTGGGGTGCTGATGAGGCCGATCGCCAATGGAGCTTGTTTTGGGTGTGAGGCAAGAGGAAGCTTCAAGAAGGAAGCGTGATCGTTGTGGAGTCCATCACCGGCGCCGATTGGGCAGGCTGCCGGCGAACGAGAAGAAGCAGGACTTCGGTACAGTTGTACGCTGGTTCGGAGCCAAAGATCGGTGGCTTTTCCTCAAGGGGAACCCGAGTTCATAGCCTTTGTTCGCGGGGCAGGCGAGGAGCTCTGTGTGGTCGAGATCCAGTGCCTCCTGTGAAGGTGAAGCTGCACTGCAGAACGTAATGCAGCGTGCCGTGGCATCACGCAGCGCTGGGGCTGCCAAAGACTGAGGCACATTGATTGCGGCCTCCTCTGGACACAGGCGTCACCGCGGGCGCTCGAGCATCGGAACCATCAGTGGACAGGAGAATCCTGGTGGTCTGGGAACGAAGCCACTGACTGGACAGCGCATGCCGGCGCATGCGGGGACTCCTTTATCTTCTTGGGGCCAGCGCCGACGATCACGAAGAATATGGCCTCGAGGACTACAAGAACCGCCTTGATAAAGGGCCTTGAGCAAGGCCACGAAGAACTTGAGGGTGGAAAGTGGAGCGAACACCAAAACCGTCAAGGCGATGCTTCCTTTGATGATTATGCCTTGCCAAAGTTGCGGTGCTGAGGGGTTGGTCCTCACAGCCCTGGCCATGGTCGATGATGAGACCTTGACGAGGATTGCAGCAACACTCTGTCGCGGATGGGGATGGCTCAGCGAAGGCTCTACGAGAGCGAAACGCAGACCAAGCACATTGGACTTTGGACGACAGTCCAACAGGGTGGCTCCCAAGAGAAGCCAAAGCAACCTTGGGGTGAGCAAAGACGAAAGGCTCTTGCAGGAAGACTATGTGAATCGGTGCCAGGAGATTCGCAGCGCCCTGTACGACAAGTGCAGAGAAAATGAAGCAATGGAGCGAGCTCTGAAGGAGGCCAGATCTGAGAACAACGACCTAGCCAGGGAAGTAACCAGGATCAGGGCCAGAACGATTCCAGAGCAGATCGTAGTCGTAGTGGCTACGTCCAGGGGTGAGCGTTACCACCTGCCCAGGTGTGGAAATATTCGTAACTTTACTGGAGTGAAGAAGTATAGTCCTTGCTTGGCTTGTTTGGGGCAGTGGTAAAAGCTAACCCAGGATTTTTCCCGAAAGGGATTTTTTGATGGATCGTGAACCTTAAAACAGGAGGGATCATGATCCAAAGCGGGGTGATAGACATGCATCCCTGCCTTTGTACACACCGGATGTCGCTCCTACCGAAGCGCTTTAGTGCTGGAAAAAATTGTCAAAAAGTGAATGCCACTCTCTGATGCAAGCCGTGTAGCATCTTGAAGAGGGTCACAATCTCAAAGCTTGTAGTTGATACTTTCGAGTCGTTTGGAACAAGTACACGGCTTGTGACTAGTCACTGCTAGTGCTGCTAGTGGGAGTCTCCGCAGATCCAGCTTGAACTATTGAGTGCATCAAAGTCCAGTTCGTGACACCAACATCCAGTTTCGCAAGCCGGCATTCTCGAGTGGGAAGCGCCCCTGAGCATCAATTAAGGTTTACTATAACTGAGTAGCCTAAAATATTGCAACGAGGCGGCACTTCCGGGCGACTGCACACACATAGACCGCGTCTAAACACACGTGCATCGGACAGCAGGTTAAAAAAAGTAGATGGACGAGTCCACCACGCGTGCTCCCGCGGCATAGGCCGCAAGGGGTTGCCGGCTCTTCCGTGCAGCACTGCGCCACCCGAACCCCTTAGACCCCTAATCCCGGCTGGCCCTGACGTGAAATCCTATCATCTAAAGCCCAAAAACTCCAGACGCTGAACCTCATGTCCCGAGAGGTTGTTTGATCATGAAAACGACTTTCGGGCGGCCTTCCAGAAGTTTTTCGGGCTCAGGGTTTACGGCCTAATCTCAACCCTAAACCTCAGCCCTAGAACTTCAAGCCCTAAGCCGTAAGCCCCAAACCTTCAATCCTAAACTGATACGTAGACTAAACCCTAAATTTCGACAGGAGCTTGGTGATCTTGCGCTGGGATTCCTAAGCTTCGCGGAGTAGCATTGCAAACTTGTGCTTTCCCATTTGAATTCAATTTTGGGAATGTTTGTTTTGTCTCTTCCTGCTGCATGTAACGGTGCTTTTTGTGCAGTGTGATCATCTCCTGGCAATAGAATTGCCTGCCCAAGCTGGTTTGAGATTGCAGCTGAATTGCCGAAGCATTGAGGTCAGGCATTCCCCCTCCGCTTGAACATGCGAGCACCCCCATCAACGAAGTGTGGAGCAGTAGCTCACCTGTCACGATGGCCAGCCGTGGCATCCAAAAGACCACATGGTGAGTTTCCCGAATCACGTTCAATACAGTCCACCGAACCAGCTGCTGTGAGCCTGAGGCCGGAAATAAACTGCCCATGTGAGCAGCAAGAGAATAAGAAGGGTTTGTGGTATCACGAAAATCACCGATTTTCCGTACTGCGCTCGTTTTCACGGCTGCCTGATCTGAACCATTTGCTCTGGTTCAAGAGCGTGCGTCCAGGCTTTTTTCTGTTGGCATCAAACTGTACTTAACATGGGTGCATCGGAAAGCTCTACGCCACCAGATCATGCGTCTAGGCTGCAGCCGAGCATCAGATGCTGTAGCATGCTGCCCTTCGCTGCCGCATTTCGAGTACAGCAAGTGTCAGCGATGTACCGATCTTTCGAGGCAACGGTGGATAGAGTCGTCAAGATGGCAACGAAGGATGCAGTGGAGGAAACCGGTGCAGTTGGTCGTATAAGCTGCAACAGAATGCAAGATCAGCAGCAGTGCACTTGTGCATGAGCACAACACGAACAAGGTTCGATCTTCGGAGTGTTCTGTGCTTGGAAGTCTGTCGCCCTGTCAGAAAGCCACCGTCAACCAGCTTTGGGAAAAATGGGAGAAGGATGCAGAATCCAAAGGGGAACAATTGCCTGACTATGCTCCTCGGCTTTTCCATCACACCATGGGCCTGAAACACCTTTCTCTTCCTTGCAGTTTGTAAAGCCTTTTTTTGCAATCGGAGCCGGCTGGCGTCGTCAGTGCAGGGAAAAACCCACTTTTGAGCCTGCTCTGAGGTTCCTTTGTGGTGGCCATGGACTCGATTCTGGTATGGGCGAACACGGCCTCCACGCTGGGTCGAGCCGCTTTTTTTAAGGAAGGTTCCACTCATTCATTCTTTAGGACGGAGGTGTGGCATGTCAAGTTGCTAGCACCTCGAGTCGCATCGACCAAGGGGTGCGACAATCGTCCACGAGGATGACTCAGGCCTCTTGGAGTCAAAGACCACTCTCGGAATGACAGGCAGATCCAACCTCTGACTGGGATCCTGCAGGCCAGCTGTGGGAGACGCACGTGGATGTCAGGCTCCATGAAGGACGCCGGAGTGGCTTGGGGGCAAGACAAAACATGAGGGTTCTCAGAAGCCATTGGAGGGATGTTTCTCATTTGGAAACCTGCAGGTTTCGTCCACAACTGGACGCGGAAGAAGGTGAGATCTGTTTGCTGAGGAGCCGGTAGTCGATTCTGCTTGCTGAAGGCAGCGGAATCACTTGGCGGCAAGCCTCCAGGTGTCCCGTCTACAGCTGTTCGGCGACACCTGAGATGTGTAGAGAGAAGGCTTGCTGGCAAGATTTGACGGAAGAGTCCCACTAAGCGGTCGAGTCTCTGTGTGGTCAGCATTTACGGGATGACAAGAACATGGTGCAGTAAGAACAGGTCTGCTCACTTCCTCCTGGCCGCACTGTCAGAATGACAGCGGCTGCTTTGTTCATAGAGCCTCCGAGATCTTCAGGATTGGAGCCCGGCCTTTTAGGCATGGTACTTAGGGTTTAGGGTTTATAGGGTTTATAGGGTTTACTTGCAACATGCAAAGCTTCTGCGCTCCTCCCCTGTCCTCGGCAGAGCGAACCCGGCCTGATGTTGTCAGGCCTGCAGCTTTGTGGTTTGCTGCAAACGCAGCTGTTTCTTGCAAAGACTGAGCAAACTCCGTAAACATCCGCCAAGATCTGCTGGAACTCATCGCTGGCTGTGATGGTATCGGAGTTCCGAGTTCCCCTGCAGCCGAACTCTCGAGTCTGTCAGTGGCCCCACAGTACAAAAGCGGCTCTGCTTGGTCGATCCGATGGGCGGCCTGGTCTCCTCACAGCCCGCCCCTTGGCCTTCAAAAAAGGCCCAGGCAAGGTCTCAAGCTCTCGCTTTGCTCTCGCTTTGGGTCGCAGTTGGGGTGCTCCGCGTTTCGTCCGAAGCCGAGGAGTACGAGAACGTGGATGCAGATGTCGCGCACCAGCTCGGCACCTTCGTGACGAAGTCTTTCAAGGACCTCCGTAGGCTCCAAAACCGTGGGGAGGAATCGGTTGTGCGGTTTTGCGCCAGTTCCTTGCAGGAGTCACAAGACCGTTCCTCCTGTTTGTCCTGCAGCACGAGGCCGAAGAGCTACATCAAGAGGCTCAGCAGCATCTGGGAGCGAAGAGCACGTCGAAGGAAACGTTTCTCTTCTTTTTGTGTGTCAGTTTGCAGCTTTTCGACTTTCAGCCAAAAAGCACATGAGGAGTCTGACAGTGTACGAGAGGGACCCGAGCGACCGCAGATACCGGATGACTGTGGATTTGGACCACGATCGAGACTCAAGTCAACTTGCTTAGATTCAGCGGCTCCCCTGTGCTCGTTCCACTGCTAGGCTGCTTAGTACGGTCTGTTGGTGGCAGGTTCGAGTCTCTAGTGAAGTCTCGTTCAGCGTTAAGGGTGAGACTCGGGTCATGGCTTCCATGATCGTAGGTCAAAATGTAATCTGAGGGCTTGGACCGCTTGAAATCCTCACACTCGCAGGGCAATATTCGAAGTTCATTTGGAGTCGGGGGGAGGCTCAAGGCTCATTTGCTTTCACTTTACTTCTTGAGCCGGCTTTTGTCAGCATGACGGATGCTGTGTTTCACGATGACTGGACTCTACAAGGCAGTAACCTAACGAAGTTGCTCCACTGTGCTGTTCTGAGAGATTGTTGAACGATGATTAGCTGCGAGAGTCTTCCCTTCAACACAGACGAGGCTACAGCCATGTGTGGTACAACAAGGAGAAGCAATGGTGTGGCTGTGTATGGTGCTGAAATGCGCTGAACATGAGTCTACAGCTCAGTCATGGACAAGCAAGTATCTTTCATGGGTTGTTTTTTTTTTCGTGCTTGCACCAGCTCCTGCTCGCCCCTGGGAGGTGCTGACCAAGCTAACGCTTCTGAAGCCTCCTCATGCCAATTTCACAGAGACTCGATTCTTGTGCCTCGCTCACATGTGTTCATCACAGTGAGGGGCAAAATTCGCAGAGTTCCCTGAACCTGACGTTGTCAGTGTCGGGAACTCCGCTAGTTTGCTTGCTAGGCAGTAGATTGATGGCATAGCCATAGATCTAGAGCCGTCTGATTTTGTCTGCGTAGTCAGTGCCTATTCACGGGTTTACCGTATTTTTGAGTGCATGTCCTAGTGGAGCTCGAGACTACGCAGATACCCCTCTCTAGTCACCACCGAGCACAGAAGTGTGCTTGGAGAGGTGGGTCAACGGAAAGGTTGGCCTCGACCAGGGAAATCTGCTTCGCTGTGTTCGCTCCAGCACAGGTCACGGCGTCTTTCTGCTTCCGAGGCCAAGCCACTTATTCTGCAGCCCTTATGGGTCGAAGCTGCTGAAGGCACGAAAACTTGCAGTCGACGGAACGACTCGCCAGCTCAAGCACAGGCGCCGAGAAGTTAGAGCAATCTCAAGCCTGGCTTTCTTTGTGACATCTCATGGAGAGCGGCGTTGCAGCGGAGTCGTGCCGACTTCAATGGGCGAAGGCGGCAGATCCGAGCAGCTCAGCAGCTCAGCAGCCCTTTCCCCTGACCCGAGGCTCGTGGCCATCCTCTCCTGGATGCGACCAGGCGACTCATGCCAAGCTCACACATTCTTTAGTCTTGGGAGACCCTTCGCAGTGCTTGGGTTCAGAGGCACAGCCTGGCTGTGTCTCTGAGTGGTGGAGTCCTTGAGCTTGTCGACGTTGCCCTCTGGGAGGACGGAAGCTCGCTGACTTCACAAAAGGGGTCGTTGGCCTGCACGGTGTGTCAATTGCCTGGTGGCAGGCCTCCGATTCATCGGACTCTGTCCCTTTGGAGTCGCTTGGCTTTGCCTCGGAGCACTTTGGTTCCAAGCCGCCAGGGGGCACTTGAGCCCGGGCCTGGGCCTAGGTTTCTGTTCACGGGCGTGCCCAGCGACGTGGACGAGGGCAAGCTAGCCTTGGCGCTGACCGAAAAGCTGCAAGAGCGGCTGCAGGCACTTCATGTGAAGAAGCAACCAGGTATGTCCAAGACTGTCGCAGCGACGGCTTCGTGATAGGAGGAGCGCAGGGCGGAGTTTCGATCACAGCTGAAGAAGCGTGCCGGCCTCGACAGGGGCTCTCAGCGATGTAGGCGAAGACAGGGACACTTTTCGCTCTCTCTGTGGCAGGTCAGGAGTCCTCGCTGCGGCGGCGCAAGGCAGGCCCTGAAGAAGGCGGAGACGGCGCAGAGGATGCTCTGAAGCACTGCAGCTTTTCTGGCTTTCTCTGCTCTTCTCTGCTATTTTCTCTGCTGCCGCGGTAAACAGCAGGAACAGTGGAGAAGCTACCTGCGGAAGCCCGCGCCAGAAGTGAAGCTCAAAGTGCAGAGCGTGCCTCGGTAGCAAAGACGGAGCAAAGTTTGGCAAAGGCTACAGCCGGTGCGTAGATGTAGCATGAGGCTCAAGCACAGGCAAAGGCAACAGTTAAGAGAGATTAAGAGATCAAGCCGAAGCCGTGAGTTCAATGACGTCGGCTGGCCACCCCTGTCCAAGTGATCGGCATCACCCGGCTTTTCGCTATGCGACAACATGGAAGAATCGGTTGTCCTGTCATGGTCGTTCGCGTTTTGCGCGTCTCTGATGGTTCTGTGTGATGTCGTTGCTTGAGGGAGAGAGACGGAGTGAGAGCTGGGCTGCAACAGCAAGAGAGGAACCAGAGCCGAAAGAGCTCTGGGTGCTAGGTTCTACGATAGCGAAGGCCAGGATGTGTGGAAGAGTGCGGCTCCTTCCCCATGCCCCGTGGGAGAGTAAGAAAGCAAAAGAGATAGCAGGGACCAGCGCATGCTCTGCGCCGCGGCCTCAATCTTGCCCAGATATGCCCAGATACATATTGCGCAGTCCGTCGGAGTAGTAGTGCAACGTCAGCGTGTTGCTGCCAAGTCTCAAGGGGCACGAGTGATTTCTCGGTGGTGGTTGGCCTGTACTGCATTCACGGCAGTGTTATTGCTTTGCGAAGCCAGCCACTAGGACAGCTGCAGGAAGTATGTCCTTTCAAAAAATGACTACAGTACTGTATGTGCAGCATTCCATGTGGGGTCTCTAGTTCTTCTACGGGTGAACTGTGCTTCTGTTTCTGCGGTACTAGGACAATGTGCAGCGAGCTTGTCTGCTGTGAAGGCAGCTATTTAACTGTTTCACCGGTATGCATTCAGGTAGTAGGGAGGTATAAGTTTTACTTCTATATGAGCTTTCGCACGGTTGGCCGACAAGCAAGAGAACCCGTAAGAAGGAGGGAGGCAGAGTCTTCCGCCCAAGGTGTTCGATGCTGGTACGCGTGTCCGGAAAGTCTTGGGCTGCCGCGTTCTGGTGTCCCCAGAGGCTGGACATGGGAGCTTGCTAAATTTGTCTTCGCGCTTCATGCATATTTCTACTTCGCTAGAAGACTCAGGCTGCGAATGATCTGGGAAAGATCTGCTTTCGCCACATCTTCGAGTCCGAGGAAGAGGATGCCACTACAACTCCAATGTGTCACCGGAGCCCAAGTCAATCCAAGTCCTAGGTCGTCTTGTTTCTGCTCCGCAGCAGGAGAAGGAGAGGCTATGGCAGCTCCAGTGGTATGAGGATTCCAGCCGATTCTCCAACAGTCCAATCAATCCCTTCAGTGTTTGTTCTCTTTTCAGGATCCTTTTCTCGTGTGCTTCTACAGCTGCTCCTGTGCGATGGCCTTGGAATCTCATTTTTGTTGGTGTCAATCTCTCTCCAAGAGGGGGGTCTGTTGCCTGGAGGTGCTTCTGGTGGTGATGCTGCTTTGGCTCGCGATGCTGTTGCCCGCGATATTGCGGCAAAGCTAGTTGCGGAAGATGCCCGACAGCGAAAGACGCGAGGACGTGGCATTGAGCATTCGTGCAAGCTTAGCCGTGTGTCAGCATAAACGTGGCTGCCGCGACAGCCGCCGGCACACAGTTCTGCTCAGTTTTTCCTTAATCCGGTAAATTCCCGCCAAGTGGGTGAAGACGACGCTTGGTTTCGGCTCAACACGTGCCGAGATTTGTCGATAGCCATGCCTCAGAAGTCCCACTTGCGAGCTTCCACCAAAATTGCCCGCGACTGCTTGTGACTTGATGCAGTAGCTTTTGCCCTTGTTCGTGCATAGTTTCTCCGCGTAACACTGTCAGGCGATGTGCAGTTGACATTTCGTCTCGGAGAGGAAAGTGCGTCACTCGAGTAGTCATTACCAAGTCCGATGGCAGCCTCATGCAATTTCACCCTAGTAGCGCCGTAGACGCCAGTAATTTCCCTTGAGGGCTGCAAGAAAAGTGTAGCAGCCATGTGGAACGTGCTTCTTGTCACCTTGGCCCCTCGGCAGGTCTTTGTCTGTTGCAGCAATTGGTGGGAGCGGAGGGGGTGTTCCTTCAGTTCGGTGTTGAGCAAGAAGCTCGCAGTGTATGTTCAAGGTCTCGGAACTAGCTTCTGCAATTTTCTGCGCTGTCGCCTTCACCCCTTCACCCTGCACACGAGCACATCCGCCGGTCATCTGAGCCAAAGCCCATGAGAATGAGGCTTTGTCTTACTCAACAGCTGCAGGCTCTCTGCCATCCCGTGCACGGAGGTGAATGCCAGAGGCCTTTTTGTCGCTCCCACGGAGCTTAGAGTGAGTTAGCTCTCCCTTTGTGGCAGGGGCCAACGATCCCCGGGCCAAGAATGCAATGCGGGTCCGACACTTCTGCAGAGCCTGGGTCGCAACAGCTGAGCTGGTCCATGCGTTCGTTGTGCACCGCAAGAGCTTGAAGTTGTGTGGCCAGGTACGGTTCTCGAGTGCGGCAGCCTGATGTTCTAGCGCGCGGAGCTCTGTCGTGCTACTGCGTTCGAATATGCCTAGAGAGCGAAGCGAAGACCGAGGACCGACGTCGAGGAGATGACAGCTGAAGCTTGTGCGCCTTTCGAGGACTCACCGACATTTGACCGCGAAAGGGTGCATTGTTGCCACGGGCTTCAGGAGTGGCCCAACGTCGATGGTGTTACATGCGGCGGCTGTCGTGCTCTGGTGGATACATCGCCATACGGAGGCAGCCTTGCAGCTTCTGCAGCAGCTTTCACCAGCTGTGGAGCGTGGAGCTTGTTGGGAGGTCGTTGCGACGCATACTGCGAAAGCTTCGGCCACAAGTGTGTGGCCGCGGCAGAGGAAAAGGCAGAAACTTGCGAAGTTCTGGACAGCTGGGCCCGTTCTGAACAGTCATGCTGCGGTCCTTCTGTTCGGGGGGGCCCGGGAAGCATCCGTCGGAACCAACTGGCAGCTCAGAAACGACTAGACATGACTTGAAACGACTTGATTGCCATGATTCCGCCGGGCATGCCGCTTCGGCCGCTGTTTTTTTCATTTGTCAGGAGCGGCAGGAACAGACGCCCGAGCGGTGTGGAAAGTGCCCAGACGTTAACGAACAGCAAGGTGAGACGAACACAGGTTGAGGCGGATTTTGGCTTTGGGTGTTTGATCCGGCAAAGCTCAGAAGACTTGCTGGTCTGTTCCGATTCGAAACCTTTGTTTCTTTGTCCTTCTTTCTCCCGGCCCGTCGGTCCTCTACGAACTTTTGGAAAGACAACCATCAGGCGCTCAGAAAGCGATCTCTTGGGCACCCCCAAATCTTCGCAGACGTCAACGGGCCCGAAAGTCGGCGCCGCAAGGAAGCGGAGGTCGGCCGGCAGGACGGAGGCACTGCGCGCCGGAGATTCAGCGCACGCTGGGGGCACGAACAAGAACTGCACATCCCAGCACCCTGCGATTTTCAAAGCACGTGAGCTTGTGCAGAGGAGCCTCTTGCGTGGTCTTGTGCTTGTCTTGTGCTTGTTGCAGCTTTTGTGCAGGGTGCAGTTGCCGTTTTGTGGAGTTTGGGAGGAGCGCAAGCGATGTGACGAAGAGATTGCTGACACCTCTGACATGCTTTGCACTTGTCAGCGAGAGACCGACGTCGAGGTCTTGGCAACTCTGAAGTAGCTTGACCTGGTTCCATTTGCTCGCGGGCACTCCAAGGTGTGCTGGGACGGAGTTGGCGGTCTGGTGGAGGAGGAAGGAAATGAAGTCGGTAAGTTGGAGACAGCATCTCTGGAAGAGTGCGAGCGCGCTTCACCGAGTTTCAGAATGCTTTGCCAGATTCGCAGTGCACGTGCTGTGACAAGAAGCGATCCGTTCGGTGGTTGCAGCTCAGGCGCTTGCAATGGTAACGATGCCTGCAAGAGCGTCACCTTCTGCAAGTCGTGGGGGACTTGTTTCCTCAAGGCAGGAAGCACGTCTAGACAGCCGGTCAAGTCAAGCTTTGACAAGTCCGTCGCAGGACAAGCGCCTTTCCGGGACGGAAGATGCTCAAAGCAACGATCACTGCGGCTCCTACTTCAAGAAGCCCTGCGGGAGCGCGCCGATCTCTCGGCCTCCCTGGTCAGGCGGAGGCGGAGCGGGGAGGGCAGCAAGGGGCCCGCCGCCACGTCTCGCCTCTTTAGGGCCTGTCGGAGAGGCGGAGGAAAGAAGCTGAAGGTCAGGGTCGTCTCCTACAACCTCTACTGGTGGAATGCCTTCGGCCAGAACCCTTGGTCGCTGGCCGCAGATGCAGCGGGCAGTCTACTGACTACTGCAGACATCCCGCTTCACGGCTCCTTCGCTCAGGAAGAGCGACCACATCATTCGGAACATCAAGAACAAGCTGAAGCCCGATTCCATCGGCCTACAGGCGACGTCCATAGCCGCCATAGCCGCAGAGAGCGTAGGCGTAGCCGCAACTGCAGCCTGCAGGAGTGCGATGAGCCTCACACCATCCGAGACAGGGCAGGGCTGGAGCGAGCCTCGAAGTTCGATGGCGCGCAGGGCATCATGGTCAAGCCAGGCCGGTCCCCCGCGCTCTCCGCGCAATAACTGCGCTCGCTGCGCTTTTTGTGCTCGCTGCGTGCTGCGAGGCGCCTTCAGGAAAGGCGACTCGGGGTCCAGAGACATTCAGGCCGGGCCGGGCAGCTTCTGCGCTTCTCGCGTTTGGTGACGCCTCAGCCAGGCCACCGGGAAATGGGGTCCCCGCTACGTGACCTGGGTGGAGTTGATCGACCCGAAGAGCGATCGGACTTTCTGGCACTTCAACACCCACTGGTACCTTTCACTGCAGTTGGGACAGGCCCCGCAGGGTGTTTTTCTCCGTCTGGCCGCTCAGGTGTGTACACAACGGCAACGGCCGGGTTTGCAATGAAGAGGTTCGATATGGTGGCGCAAAACACATGCTAGATGTTTGCCCCTCAGCTGTCGCAACGCTGGTAGGGTTTCATTGCAGAATGCGTTCGAAGTAGTGGCTAAGGTCATCAAGGAGAAGGCCCCGGCTAGACCAGCCTTGTCCCTTGGTTTAGAATTGCGCCTCACATGCCTGAAAGGCTTCCGACATGCCTGTGGTTATCACGGGGGACTTCAACGCGTGCCTCTGAGAAGCCGACGGTAGCTCAGTAGGTCGCATTCACACGCGCACCTCCTGCAACTCCTGAGGCAAATCTGGACGAAAGGGGACCTCAGCATTTCCTCAAGAACGGCTTTAAACTTGCTCCCAAGCAGCAAGATGCACTAAGAGCGGGGCTTGTCTTGCAAGTCTGTTGCGCAGCAGCTGAAGGTTTTCAAACCACTTCATGCGTGATAGCACGTCATAGCACCCTCGCAACAACACGGCCGCGCACCATGTTTCCGGACCCTTCCGGGCAGACCGCACTCAGCCGATTCCCAAGCCAGAGGAACAGCTGTCAACAGAGGGGGCGAAACACGGGGAAACGGGAGGAGTAGTGATCATAAACAGAGCTGTGAGGTCTACTCGGGCATGTCTCCTAGGCCAAGGAGTAGTTGTGGGCGGTTTTGGCGTCGCATGACAGCACACGTTGTGTAGCGAGGCTGAAAATGCTTGGGTGGACTGCATCTTCTACTCGCACCACTGGGAATTGGCCCGGCATGGAACTGGAGACGCTGCGCACAGCGACCATCGTCCGATCTTTGCAGAATTGGTGCTCAAATGAGAGCGGCTCCTTGCCTTTGATTTGGCTGCGTTTGGAAGGCTCCCTTGTGTCTGCTGCCTTGTCCCAGGCTAGAGGCATGCGCCTCTTTGGGAATTTGTTTTTGCATCATAGCTAGTGCCGGTGCGCAGAGCTTGCGGTCTAAAGCCACAAGATGCTTTCTCTGCCAAAGCTGGAGCAGAGTAGACTGAACTGTTGCAGGGCCGTGCCCCCCCCACTGAAGTCTTTGTGAGGGGCACAGGCAGCCGCACAGACGGAAGCCCACCAGTCCCCAAGTGCTGCTTTGTCAGTTGCAAAGGGCTTGATAGATATGCTGAAGATACTTCTGTTTACTCTTTTAGACGATGCCCTATCGGCGGCCTTCATGCGGTCCTGCATGGTCCTACCGTGTCGCACCGGCAGCGACTGCAGAGCTGATTGCAGTTGCCCAGCCAAACAAGCTCGTTCACTCCTTCCTGGTGCCAACACAGATGCCGTTGGACCGCTGAGACGAAAACAGAACTGCTGTTGCAGGATGTGCGTGTGAGGTGCAGATTTTGACGTTGGCGGACAGCTCACCGCGGCTCAAGGTAAGAGAGGAGAAGACAACGACTTTATCCACAGCCGGAGCAGCAGCAACAGCAACCACATGGCTGGGCCCGCCGGGAACCTCAGCAGCACGCAGCAAGAAGGCCACCACCACCATCACCAACCCCCAAGAGCCACCACCGACGACCGCAACCCAGCCAAGAACCATCTTGCAAGATGACTTCATGTAACCACAAAGTAGCAGATCTCCAAGTCGGCATGCTTCGAAGCTGGAGCTTGAGCTTTGTTTGGGCCCTGGCGCTTCGGTCTTCCTGCACTTCAGCAGCCTTCTTGTCTTCAGGCTTGGCTCGACTTCCTCCGAGGCTTCAGTTGGTTTGGGACTCAAAGTGGGCAAGGGCAAGACCAAGGCGGCACAGCTCTTTCGTCGCTCATATTGAGGCGACAAAAATGTGCCCGACTGGAGGCCATGCGTATCCTATGTGTGCTGCAACCATGAAGGCTCTCTCTCTCTCTCTCTCTCTCTCTCTCTCTCTCTCTCTCTCTCTCTCTCTCTCTGCAGCAGCTCCTTGCTCCCTCAACTCCCTCCGAGTCTCTCCCCTGCGATTGACTTTGGCCGCAGCCTCGCAGCTCTGAAGGTTTTTAAAAGCTCCGGGGTCTGTTCGGCGCGTAGCTTAGCTTGCCATGCCCAATGCCAAAGTGGCCGACTTGGTGGAGGAAGTGCTTCGGCACCGTCGGGAGCACTTAGTGGAGCAGGTGCGCGCCTGGGTCACCGACCTAGAGGCTGAGATCGAGCTGCGACTGCTGCATGCAGACTTTCACAGGGACACCAAGGGCGCTGACGGAGGGGGCGCTGACGGCGGGGAAGGTTCCAGAGACCTGGCAGATGCCAAGACGTCCCACCCCCACTTCCACTCCCGGCGTCTCTCCGTCTCCGAGACAGCCCACGCAGGACACAGCTACATGTCGGCAAGCTACCAACGTGCCAAGGCCAAAGGCTCTCGATTCCATTTTCACAAGAAGATCCGCTTCAAGAAGGAGTCCATCAATTTGAAACGCCAGCTCTCACAGCTGTCTTCCCTGCGGCAGATGGTCAGGTCTCTGGTAAGCCACCCCCTCTTTGACTTGTTCTTTGCCCTTGTTATCGTCTCGAACGCGGTCTATTTGGGTATTCGTGTTGAGACCATGGACCCAAGATTCCCACCCGCGCAGGCCTCCACCCTACCCGTTCAGTTGACCTACGGCGTTGTCTTCTCTCTGGAAGTCATTCTTCGGTTGTTTGCTGCTGGACCTGCAGACTATGCTTGCGGTTCAGACTGGGCATGGAACTGGCTGGATGTGGCCGTGGTTGTTTCATCCTGGACGGCCATCGTGATTGACCTCGCCTACGAAGGCAGCGATGCAGGAGTAAGTTCCAGCATACGGATGGTTCGAATTATCCGAGCCTCCAGGCTTCTTCGGATCCTGCGCACGGTTTGGGTCATTCGATTTATCGGAGCCCTCAGGACCTTAGTAGCCTCATTGGTGGACACTCTCCGGTCACTGTTCTGGGCATTGCTCCTCCTCTTTCTTATCATCTATGTCTTTGGTAGCGATACCGCAATGAATCAGCCTTTGCGATTTTGGATTGCTGAGACGAGTGGCCAAGTCAGCTTTAACTTTAAGCACTTGTGGTGTGCCACCAAGGTATTTTGTTTACCGACGTTGCTCTGGAGTACGTGCAGGAGAACTACCAGGCGAATGGTGAGCTTGATCCCAATCTGATAAAATATTTCGGATCCCTATACAATTCCACCGCCACGCTCTTCCGTGCCATCTCCGGTGGTCTTGATTGGGACAATGCCGCAGAGAGCCTCAACCCTGTTGGAGTGCTGTGGGTTCAAATTTTTCACTTTTACGTGGCTTTTGTGTCCTTCGCGGTCCTGAACGCGGCTTACCTGCACCGATTCGCGGGATCAGGGATGTTCTTTCATGTCCAGACCCAGCTTGGCGCACGAGGGGGCCTGGGCCGCAGGAGCAACTCAAACCGGAGAAGTTTTTCGACCCGTGCTGTGAAATTCTCATTGGATTTTGTGCCCAAGGTTTTTGCTGTTTACAGCAGGACAACGTGCTGTACAAACCCCTCAAAGCAAAAATATCGCCGTGTAGTATGGGTAGGAAGCCGTTACACCCACCGGCCAAGCCCCGGTTACGCTGCCACCGGCCTTCATACCACCGGATACATTTTCCGAGCCCTTCGGTCTTGTGTTTTGACGTGGCAACTCCTCTGCATGTCCAACGTCTTTTTCATTGATGTTGCATAGCCAAGTCGAAGTTGTTTTGAAGGGCTCGGCTAGTGCACTGCAGCCTTGATCAACCAATGAGCCAACATGCAAGCGATTGCCAAGCTGAAGCTGTCCCGCAACACTGCCATACAGCTGCAAAATCACATGTAACGTTTGGGTATTCAACATGTGCTTCTGCATCAACAGAAAAGGGTCGAGCATGTGGTTGCATCGTAATGTTTTCCCCTGGCTTGCGAAGGTAATGACTGGAGTCTTGGTAAATCTTAGTAGTGATCCTTTTTTTTGGTCGTCGGGTTCTCCTTGGAATATCAATGGAGCCCAAGACTCAAGAGAGCTCCTGTTTTGTTTGTTGCCCCTGATCTAGGCGTTTTCTGTAACTCCGCGATCAAATCAGCAGAGCGTGACATGAAGGCAAAGCTGGAAGATCGTCATGATTTCAGAGCATTAATGATGAATATCTTCAAGCAGATCGATGCCAGTGGTGATGGCAAGTTGACATTGACCGAGTTCGAAACGCTGTTCGATTCTGAGGCCATGAAGGCATTGCTGGAGACAGCTGACATAAAAGCCGCTGATGCGTGGGGCTTATTCGACAGCCTCGACCGAGATGGTGACAGCTTGGTGGATGTGAACGAGTTCATCGAGCAATGCTTGGAATTACATGGCCCAGCACGTGCTCTGGATTTGCACACGTTGACGCGGCAGACCATGAAATTTGCAGAGCAGTTGGCTGCAATAGAAAAAGCACAGCAGCAGCAACTGCGGTTTACAACATTTCCAGCACAGAGCAAGTCTGCACCCCAGGATGACACTTTCATTTGCATGTAGGTACAGAGCTGCTTCCAAAGGAAATGCTCTGGGGAGCCTGTTTTATGTTGTATTGTCGGCGAGAAAAGTCATGTGCTTGGGACCCTTGTCACAGAAGCTATTGAACTTCATCTGCCGCGATTAAGCTGAGTTTTGGCGCTTTCACATCGTGTGCATTCGGCTTTCCGAGGACGACCTGCAGGTGTTGCGGAAGGAGACTTGATCGTCTGTGCTGGCTGTGACAAAGACTGGTTCCGGTTTGGCTGCATGTTTCAGGAGCAGGCGTTGCTCACACAACAGCTGGAAGAACAAACGTCCATTGCAAAGCCACCGCCTCAAATTCGACGGTGTTTCGGTACTAGTGAAATTGATGAACCAGCCAAGCCTCAGGCGTTTGGAGGAAAGATGTGCCGAGCTGGAGGTGGGACCGGACAGTGCACGTAGTAGCAGGTCGTCGAGCTGTTGTTGCAGTCAGTGTCACTGTGATTCCATGGCGAGCACATCACATCGCAAACCTCTCGCAGCTGGGAGGATGATCTTCGCTACAACTGGGATTGGTGGCGTGCGAAGGCGTGGCCGCTTGTTTGTTCAGACCCCTGTGTTTGTGGGACCAGATGGTCGTGGAGCCATCATCGCCGCTATCACAACCGTCGTCTCATGATCAGCATCATCACGATCACCGTCGTCACCCTCGTCATGCTCGTCGTCGTGACCATCGGCACCATTGCCACCATTGGCATCATCCAGCGTCATCAGCATCACCAACAAACACTATCAGCTCCGAGAGCTCTGAAAACAACAGCATCGGAATTTGTGATGCGAGTCAATCAGAAGCCTTGAAGAAAGCTCTGGAAGAGATTGCTCTGTTTTCCGAAGCTCGCCATGCTTGCTGAACTTGCCATGCGCACCGAAGAAGAATCGAGTGAGCTACAAGGCACAAATTGAGTGTGGTGTCCCTGCATAGGTGAGTTTGCCGCTGTCGTCTACAGTGCGCGTTCGAAAAGTGGTTGTAGGAATGTCATCATTACTCATGTTAACTTGGAAAGTAGATGGCATGCATGACGCACCACGCACGCACGCTACACGGAGCCAACTTGATTATCTGGCAACCTTGACAAATATCGGTGGGAAACATTGTGGACGGGCTCAACCATGCGCAGCCTTCCAGCCTTCTGCTCGTGTGGCGCGAGTCGAATAAAAGAGATGTAGGTTCTAAGCGCATGCAGAAGAAAGTGCCCCGAAGTGACTTTTCAACGAGCATTCAAGATGCGCAACCTTGTCTTTTCAGATCTGAGAATCTGGAATCTGGACTTGCCAGGCCAGCGGACAAGCCCAGGAATTCTAAGCACACTGGAAAATCCAAGTGTGGCCAAGGCCAACACAGTACACTGAATCCCAAGCCTACTCTGGAAATAACTAGAATCCGAGACGAGTGCGTATGTACTGGCGTGGGTTGCCAGGTTTATGTCTTTTTAGTGTTCGGGTGGACTTGACTGAGCATGCCGACATTTCTCTTGTGGAATCTGAATTCATTCCTGACAGTAGTAGCCGAGATAAACTTACTTAGATCAGAATACAGTAGCGAGGCGGGAAGTCACCTCAACTGGCCATTCGGCAGGAATGGATACATCTGCTGAATTTATCTGACTTCGGCCGGTCTCGAGTGCAGCCGGACTAAGCCGAAAACCGCCGAAGTAACATGTGCCGCTAATCTCACCTTGCAAACACTGATGGCAAGTCGCACGCTTGTGAGGCCATCCGCCTCTCCTCCCCTTTGACAAGATACACGGAACAGATCCCGACACCGAGTGAAGAAGCCTTCGAGTGGAAGTCGGCATCTCAAGCTGTTTGCACAGGCTGAGCGGTGCAAAATAGACACTTGCCTATTCTTATGGTTAAGGTGGTATCCGACATCGTGTCCTTGTTGCAGACGACCCCTGGACATAACAGTCTTCACTTCGGAGAAGTTGCTCGTCTGCGAAGGTAGCACTGATGACCAGGAATTCTATCATATGGCAATCTGCATGGCAAGCCACGGCGCCACTTCGGAACCTGAAAACTCTACAGGAGTACACTCACGAAGTGGATGATGACCGCAGTAGGCCTTCGGTCGTCATCATCATCATCATCATCGTCCTCATCATCGTCACCCCGTCCTTCATCACCTTTGTTACCGTCATCGCCTTCAGTACATCCTCGTCGAAGTTATTCGGCGGCTCCCTTGCCTTCAACGAGGCCGGCTGCTGTAGCCGACGTCCCAGTGTTCAGTGCGGGGCCAAGCGCATCAACAATGCAGCAGCAGTAGACTCGTGCTGATCTTCTCCTCCCTTTCCTAAACCCTAAACCCTATAAACCCTATAACCTCTAAACCCTCTTCTCATGGCCTGCCATGGCGATTGCTCGAATGCTACAGCTGCTGCTGCTGCTGCTGCTGCTTGCAAGTGCTCGGGGTTCCGAGTCTCATCCTGGCGAATCGGCAACCCGAGGAGAACCTCGACACGCTTACGTTTGCGTTGTCTGGGGTGCAAATTCTGGCTACGCCCTGGGTGCTGCAGTTCTGGGCGCGAGACTCAAGGCCCAACCGGAGAAAAAGCCCACACTCATGAATGTTCCACGTCTGCTGCCCGCAGGAACTGCAAGCAGAGCAAGGCCTGCTGCACAATGTCGGACCCGAAGTCCGTTCGAGCTTGCACACAGCTGACAGGTGACACTGCCGACTTGATCCTGATGCACACCGATGCAGCTTGGATCAGTCTGGACTCCCACGTCCGGTCTCGTGAGCTGATGTGCCACCAGGATGTGCCCTCGAACTATTTGGAGCAGCTTTCAAAGATCTGGAAACTGCAAAGCATTGATTACATTGACGGCGTCCCCGCCCTCTACACCACGAAGGGCACGCGCTTCGACGGAGTCTTCACCAAGCTAACTGTGACCTGGCCCAAGTTCGGATTGCGCTCCGTTTGCGCCCCCCCCTGGGCCCCAAAGCACAGCAGCCCCAAGAAATCGCAGAGAAGAGCCTCGCGCTGTTCTTTTGTCTGCTTTCCGCCAGCTTAGGCTTGGAAGCTCGTCCTGGGCTCAGGGGCCTTGGGGAGCTTGGGCTTTGTCTGCTTTGCTCGTTTCCGATTTCCGAGCTAAGGTCGAGTACGACAAGGCGCTGACCGCTCGAGCTAGGGGGGAGGGAAGCTCATAGCAATAATGATAGTAAGAATAACAATAAAAAATACTAGTAATAATAAGAATAAAGATACAAATAATAGAAATAGTAATAGTAACAATATTCTAGTGGTAGCAGTAATAATAATAATAATAGTAACAACATAATAGTAACAATAAGAATATTAATGATAGTAATAATGTCTTGGCGTTGATCTCAGGTGATGCTCTTGGACATTGACACGCTGCCAGTGAAGTCCCTCAGTGCCCTCTTTGATCTGGAGCCCCCTGCAGCCCTCGCAGCTGGCCGGCATCGGATTGGACAAGATGCTATAAGATTGCGCTGCAAGAGTAATTCGGGGCACAAAAAGCAGAAGAAGTTTTGAGGCAGCTATAGAGTCTCGGCAGGTCCGAGGGAGCTGCGAGCTGGACCACGGCGCCGTGGTGGATGGACGCCGCTCGTCAGTGCTGGAGGTCGGGGTCAGTTTATTATATATTATATACATTATATATGATATATTATGTGTAGATTATATAGAATATATTATATATATATATATATATATTATAGGGAGTCGTTTCGCCCCGACTTGACGGTACCATGCTCCCAGATGCACAGGCAATTTTGGAGCATCCAGGATGAACCTCAACCTTGGGTCCCAACGCACGAGACAGTGAGCAAGATCTAGACCCCGGATTCAAAATTCAGTGATGCGATCCTTAGGCATGCGAAATGCAAAAAGTAGTGGCTTAAGAAAGCTTCCGACAATTCGTGATTCATGCTGGTGTAGGGGCCGAGGCAAGTAAACTACGGACCTACGCTGCCTAGACTGGTGCCCCTCTACAAAATCCAGCACTGAATCAAGGCTCCTTCTTCAGCGAGGGCGGCTGGGAGCCGGGTGGTTGGCTACAGTCCGGAGGAGAGAGCAGATCATCACCACGAGTCTACCGGGCCCTCCTGTGTTTAAATGGTGACGGAGGCATCAACGCCGGCCTGATTCTCCTGCGGCCGTCTCACGACACCTTCGAACAGATGCTGAGCGAGGTGCCTTTCCTGCAAGAGTCCAGGGATCAGAGAAGCTCTTGGCGAAGGTCACTTCCGAGCACCATCCTGCCCACATTGCCGGTAACGGCCCGGAGCAGGACTACCTGACCCGCTTCTTTGCGGCCCGGTCCTCTGTTCTTATATGTGCCGCTCCGGCGCCAGCCGCATCAGCAGCATCAGCCGAGGCAGACCTTCAGCAGCCTTGGCGACACATCGACGTGTCCTACAACTTTCAGCTGCACCACATTCCCTTTGCGTTGGAGCAGGCGGGCTGTGCGACTCCGGGCTACAGCTGTTGGCAAGATTGCAGGTGTCTAGGATGCGTGTCAATGTGCCAGGTAGTGCGCCACCGAAATAGGCTTGAATGGCATGGCGAGTCCGACTGCGAAGAATCAGACTGGATGCCCCGTCGACTCAAAATCGGTGCGGAGGTCTGTGCATGCTTTGAATGGTTGTCGGCGTCATGTAGTGCTGGGTGAACAGCCGCCTTACATGCATGCGCCGAATTAGCAGGACATCAAGCTGGTACACTTCAGCGGCGAGTTGAAGTACTGGCACATGATGCGTCGCAGTTGCATGCTGGGGGGGTGGGCTCATGTTACGAAGACGATGCCTGAATCCAAGATATCTGAGGCTCTGCCACGAAAAAGACATGGAGTTCAGCATAGAGAGGCCAGTGCTCCGCGAGACTCCCAAGCATGTTTGAGACCTCCTCCTTGATGTCCCCCGCGTCCTAAGCCCGAATTCTGTCCGTCCGAGATTTGCGGAGAAGATGTTGGCTGAATTCGCATCCTATGGAGCCTGGGTGACTGGAGAAGACGACCTTGCAGAGTACGGAGCTCATCGCTGTGACGGTCGTATCTTTCTGGAGGGCAATCTTACGAAGGACATCACGGACTTGGTGCAGAGACACTTGGCTTGTACATTCTTGCCGATGCCACGCGCAACATAAGCAGCATCTATCAAGCGCTCGATCCCCACCTGCCTGCGAATGACTAAAGAATGAGGTAACAAGCTAACGGCGAGCTTACAGTGCCGACCAGAAGGTAAGTCAGCCCACCAGCCGTCACTCGCGGACTAAGCAGGAAATAAGCTTCTCCAGAAGTGAGCTGGCTGGTCAGCTATACCTCGCTAGCTGAGACCACTGTGACAATCCCAAAATCCGAACTAGGTGACGGAGCCAGGAACAGACCATTTCTGATTCACGGATTGCTCACAAACTCGCGAGCTCAGAGTGGGCTTGCAAGGGGGCCTTCGACTAGCAGACGCAGCTCACAATCGAAGCACAAAGTAAACACGAGCATAAGTGTGTGAATTGGTGGGCTGATGATTGGGTGGCTGCGGTGGCTGGCTCGGCTTTATAGCTGTTGTTGTGTCAGCCAGTCCGTTAGCTGGTGCTCGAATGATTCTGGCTCTTCAAGTGGAAAGCAGCTAGCACGTACGCCTTGAGTTCTTGTTGCGTACTCGCAGCTTGTCTACTCAATACCTGCTCTGCAAGGTCCCAGCAAAGGCCCGCTTGCGCTAGGGTTGCGTAGGTGTTTCATTCTGACTGTGAGGTTAAAGTAACGGTGTTTAGAACTCTGGATCGATCTCCAGCATTGCTTTGCATTGCTTCTGCCATTGCCTGGCTTGCTGGGAAAACGATTAGAGGCGACTTTGTGACCGAGAGTTCCTCTGTCTTTCAGAGGTAGGAAACACCGGCCTGTCGACTCAGGTGCTTTCCAGCACGCTCGGGAGATTTGCACAGCCTCTTGTTCCATTTGGCACAGCTGTGCCCTTCGGCTCCTGGACCGCCAGCCAGGCGCGATTTTGCATCTTCCCACGCTATTGCGGTCTCTGGCAGTCTCTCTGGCTTTCTGGCTCTCCCAGTATAGGGCGCCTTTGCAGGCCTGCTTCGGGAGCTGGAGTTTCCCCGCGTACCGGAGGGCTGCGCGCTGCCCGGCGCAGCTGTGCACGTGATGTGGCCTGACAGTGGCGCAGGCTCGGCCAGCAGAATTCTGAACTCTGCCTCAGCAGACCTTGATCAACACAGAGTGGGTTCGGTGATGCTTACCATGCATCTGAAACCCGCCTTGGAGCGGAAGTCCACACTAGGCCAGCACTAGGCACATGGGTGAGAGGTTCTGGCAGGCTGCGAGCTGTGAGTAGACTGGGGCAACCCCACCTTCTTTTGAGGCAAGTTCTCAGAGGATCTTCCACCTTATCCGGACCCTTCCCTCAGTATCCTGAGTTCGGAGGCTCTTGGTGGCACCCTGCCCGTGTACTGGCTGTGCACGCCGACGGGAGCTACACGGCCAGATGCCCACACGGGATGCTTCGTTCAGACCTCTACCCGACTTCTGACCGAGGTGCACTACCATGCACAAGACAAGGGCTGGTCTTCCTGCATGGAGCGAAATGTCGATGCTGCTCGTGTCTGGTGGGAGCGTGAGAGCTCCGAGAATTGACGGTAGATCTTGCCCTCTGCAATATCTTCTCGAATAAGAGCCTGCGGCGAAGAGCGCCGGGTTTTGGGCTAGTGCCTCAGATCTCAGAATCTGACGGGTCTGCAGCCGCTTGCCACGACTGCAGAACACGGCATGAAGTGTTTAATCGCGGTCGGAGTGCCGTCGCTGCGCCCCTGCCAGCTGTGCTTTCAAGCTTTTCTTTGTTGCAAGGTTGACGTTTCAGTTTACGTTCCGACATGTGGGGCCCGACAGCAAAGCCGACTCATCCAGTTGCTGCCTGCACTTGGAGAGCAGAAAGGCATCAAAGTTGGTTTACTATCCTCGCGGTCGGAGTGCTGAAGTGCAGAGGGGACTGGAATGATTGTTCCGTACCTGCGTCTCGGTGGTGGTGCTGCCGGGTTTCAGTTTTCAGCACCCATCGAGGTTGCTGATGGAAAAAGAGCACGCACAAACACAGGCAACTGCTGCTGGGAGCATGCGCTGTGACTGTGTCAGAAGCATGCTGTCTTCAGCTTTGCTTTTCCAGCTTTCACTCCTTGAAGTGGATTCAAGCGGGGGCTGATCAGTAGAACAGTAGCTGAGTAGCTGCTCTGCCTGAAGAGAATCATGAAAGCGGTAAGACAACAGATCTGCAGATGATCTACATGTGTTGCATGCAATGGTGCTGCGATCGAAGTGAAGCACGGGCCCTGGGTCATCTCGTAAGATGCCAGCAGCGTCCACACGCAAGAGCCTGGGCTTGCGAAGAAGAGCATGACTTGCCAAGTTGGGTGGGCCAATGGATTCTGGCGATGTAGCACAGGACGCCAGCTTTGGAAAAGTTTCAGCCTTTTGGGTGCCCGGGGAGTCGTTGCCGTCGAACATCTTCGTTACAGCCACATTGATAGAGAGATTGTTAGGGGGACCTTTCATATTTTCGCATCCGTTGCCAAGGCTTCGGCTGCTGGTGGCGGATGCGACAATGGGATGAAGATGCAACAATGCCACCGCACTCAGTTCAACAGGCCTGCACCGTCGGACGGATGCGACCTCCTTGCTAGGAGTTCCCGCAAGGAGTCCTGTAAAGCAGTTAGGCTCTCTCTCTTCTCTTTGTGAATTCAGAGCTTCATATGGGGGTTTCCGAAAATAGGGAACCCTGATATAGTACCCCAAATAGTAGGATCCTTATTATACGGACCCCAAAATAAGGCACCCCTGACATTCGGAAAGCTTCATATGCACAGGTTGGAAAGGCGCCAAGGGCCTAGCTTGGCCCTGCTGACTTCGAGTTTGGAGCCGAGGCTGGGCCTAGCATCTCGAAGATTCTGCGCGAAGTGCCCATGTTGTGTCCATTTAATTTGGCGAAGTGTAGATGTCGTGTGTCAGATTTGCGATCCCAAGAGAAAGACTGATGTAGAACGCACAGCTGGACCGTGCATGGCAGATCCCCGGGGCCAAAAACAGCCACCGGGGACCGGATGCCAGCAAGCGACACCCATGGCCCAATGCAGTGCGGAGGGCCATGAGTGTAGAAGGGCTCTTGACTGATGCACGTTGTCCGCGAGAGGTTGCCGAAGGAGGGGAAGTAAACAGCCGATCCCTCAGCTGCAGCGGACAAGCTCGAATCGCAAATGCTGCTAGTCTTGTCGTAGTCTCCGCTGCTGCTCTGGCAGCTCAGCAAATTGGGAAGCGCGTTTGGTATTGGGATCTCTCCAGGGCCAGTAGACCTAAGAACACACCAGGAGCACGGATCGGCAATGTCATGTTTTGGACGTGATTGCGGGGTTGCCGTAAAGAATCACATCTGAAGAGCAAGTGCCGCAGCCTCTAGGCTTCATCTTCAGCCTATGTTTGCCAAATGTTGAATCCATGAGGTCGGTGGTGGTCTTCCATGTCATATGGGGCCTCGCTGTATCTATCAGGGACTCCGACATGCGGTTGGATACGGAAAGTCTAGTGCACAGTGACGCGAAGGACGAGTGTGAGGAGAAGCTTCGAAAGGCGATAGATGAGAATGCCAAGCTGGTGGCGGAAAGCACCAGTCTCAGGAACACGATGGAGGACGTGAAGGACTTGAAAGTGAAAGTGGACAAGCTGAAGGGCCAGCTCATCCCCACTGCGCCGAACGCTTCGAATGCTTCTGCCACGGATGATGGTGACTTCGGAATGGGATGCTGTTGTCGAGTGGGGAGGTGCCACCGAGACGAAGAGGGTGTCGATGGCACACGGGCGGTGGAGGTTCCAGCAGATCGCTGCTGCAAGCAGCAGTTTCTGAGTGCGCAGCACTGTTCATCCGGCTGGGAGAATGCCTCGGCTTCGGACTGCACCAGCGCCGAGATGGAGATGCTGGAACGCTTCAACCGAACAGCCGTGGCCAGCGAGAACCACCAGCAGTCAGAATGCCAGCATGAATTGCTGGCAGTCTGGGATGGCATCCAGAAATGGACAGACAACCTGTCGCTTCACGGGCATTGGATCCACAGCATCCACAGCCGGCATCTCAGTGAGACCATCCAGGCCCGTCTCTTTGTCACCGGTTTCCCCTTTGAGGACGGGGCAGTGGGTGCCAGACTCTTTGGCATGGCTGCGGGCACCAAGCTGCTCATGTCTGGGATGAGCCCAGACTCAGACGCTTACAAGACATGGAAGAGCAAAGAGCATGCAGGCAGCGTGGTTTCTTACTGGTTGGCCCGCTTTTTTTGTTTTAAGAAGGGCCGGGTTCTTGTTGAGAAGTCGTACCTGCTGAGGCGAACTGAACCGAGATACCGTCCTTGGAGGCATCCTTCTGGAGCGGCTAAATGGCAGCGAGTTTGGAAAGTGCGATCTTGCCACCATGCAGACCTTTTGGCAGACCGCTTCGACCAGCTTCCTGAACGTCAACAACACCAAGCCGCTCCTGATTTTAATCAACGAAACGCTGCGGAGCCTGCCGGCCGAGGGCTGAGAGAGAGAGAGAAGTGTTGCCTGTTGCGTCGCGCCTCCCGCGCTGCATGTGCAGCCTGAGGACACCATGTTCTGGAAGGACGAGGTCTCGGGCATCTCGCGCAGTCCACCGCGTGGCAGTGTCCGGCTCGTGACTTTCCAGACTGGGTGCCTGGAGTTGGTGTCGCACGGCCAATGCATGGCAAGTTGAAGGGGTCTCGATTCAGTATTGTTGGGGGGGGATACAGGGTAAATTTGCTTGACGAACCCTTTCTAAGGGAGAAGCTCTCCTCCCAGATCGCTGAGCAGCTCACAAGATTCCGAGCTGGCCGGCTTCGATGGGAAGAGGAGGTCACCAGCCTCACCTGCCAGACTGCCGGTAGAGACCCGACAGAGGAACAGAGGTATCTGCCCCCCTTTTGGCGAGCAGAGAAGCTGCGCGAGCATGGCTACAGAACCAGGCGCCTCCGAGCCCTTGGCTACTCTGCAAAACGGATGTGGGACGTTGGGTACAACGCCTCCGAGCTCCGAGAGGCAGGTTTCATGCCCGTGGACTTGAAGGGCATGTACGATTGCAAGGAGCTTCGAGTGGCTGGATACAGCCCCAAAGACCTCCTCCCTGCTGGATTCTCCGTGCAGGACCTGCGGATTGTGAACTACAGCGCCAGGGAGATGAAGAGTGACGAGGTCTTGGCGAAGGACCTGAAGAGCGGAGGCTACGAGGCCGGTGAGCTCAAGGTTGGCGGCTACACCCTGGCGGAGATGATCCAAGCCGACTTCGATGTTCAGGAGCTGAAACGCATCGGCTACGCGGCCAGGGATTTCAACTTGGCCGGAGCCAACTTTACCTTGGTGAGCAAAGCGTAGCTTGGCCAGATTAGCGTTGTGACAGGGGCCGTGTCGGCGGTTTAGTCGAGAGGTGTGTAGAAGTTCAGGTTCACCGGCAAGGAGCTGAAGAATGCAGGCTACAGGTGCCTCGAGCTGCACACGCTCTCCACAGAACGGAAGAAGCAAGAGCTGAAGGGGAATGCCCGTTTCCAGAATAGTGAGGAAGACGTAAGATGCGACTATCTGGAGGTCCTGAACTGCACGCTTCAGGACCACCAGCAGGCGAACAACTCCGTCCATTGCCTTCTTTCTCATCTCCACAAGGACCCCAGGAACGTGGTGGGCCAAAAATTTCCGGCAAGCTACTTGTGCAGCGATCAGGGTAAAGCTCTCCACAAACACGGCATCGCAGCTTCGATGCTCCGGGAGGCTGGCTACAACGCGAGTGAGCTTCTCCTCGGCGGCTGCCAGGTAAAGGATCTGATGAACGCTTACACCTGCAGTGAGATAGTGAAAGCAGAGGCAGCGGTGCAACTCGAGACCTTGAAGGAGCTAGGTTGCAACGCGACGGAGTTGCTCGCAGCAGGTGTAAGTCCAAAGGAGATGAAGGATGCCAAATTCCAGGCTCGAGACTTGGTGGAAGCGAAGGCAGTCTACCGCAAAGACGTCCGGCCGTTGAAAGATGCCGATTTCGATGCGAAGAGCTTACACCAAGCTGGAGTGCCCGCCAGAACTTTGAAGTCTGCCGGTTTCAATGCGATGACCTTGTTTGATGCAGGCGTGCCGCCTGCGGAGTTGAAGGGTGCTGGTTTCGATATGACGGCCTTGCTCAAGTCCCTTTACAACGACAGAAAGTTCACCAAGCACGATGCGCTCGCCAAGAACTTCGCATGTGCCGATGTGAAATCGTACTACTACTGGGTTCCATGTAACTGACATGCATGTTTCAATCCCCAGCCCTACGACATCCTCGGCCGCGCGTTCAAAACCAGATGCTGCATGGTGGAAGGGAGGGGAGGCACAGCACTTTGATTTCAGGAACTCGTTGCCTCCTTCCTGCGCTGTCTGTAGCCCTATTTCGTGAGAAGTGCATGTCAGGGCTGTTGCTCTCCCTTATTCTCTGGTTTGTTCGGGATATGGCGGCAATGTTGAAACGGTATGTGCAGTTTGCACCAGTAGCACCAATCCAGAGGCTTTGGCTGTGTTTTGGCTCCGGCTGACACATGAGGAACCTTGCAACACGAAGGCGACGAACATGGAGTGGCATGAGCTCAAGAACGGTTCAAACAAAGACCTCTTTGCAAACTCTGCCGGAGCCTCCAAACTTGCGGAGATCCGGTGCCGCTTCCGAGGCTGCTGCCAGGGGCGCCAAGAGCCAAGGCAGCTGCCCTGGCTTTCTCTTTGCTCAGCTTCGGGATTCACGGTTTGGAGAGGCAACCTCCAAAAAGCAGGGGCTTGAACAAAAAGCTCTGAAGGCCCTTCAAGCAGGTCTCGCAGATAGATGGATGACGTCAACACGTGAGCATTTCAGAAGCATGAAATGTCTCGAACCTGAGCCCAACACAGCAGCCACATGCTGCCGTCGCCGCGCCACTGCCGCCACCCCTTCCACTCCCTCACATTGAAGAGTTTCACGGACACAGTAGTTGCAGCAGCGAGAAACCGATGGTTGTTTTTCGTCAAGGGGGACTCAAGGAAGTTGAGGCGTGCCATAGTTGAAGTCCGGAGCTTCCCGATGTTACCGCGATGACCCCTCATGCCGCTTTTTCTTTGTCACGGAGCCGGTCACACGCACTGTTGCAAGTGTCCTCAGGCCACGAACACTGCTGCTACCGAAAACAGCTACGAGTCCGAGAGAGACATCGAACTTTCATACGGTGTTGGGTTGACAGGACCAGCTCGAATGACGAGGGCTTCAGGCAATTGAAACTTGATAGCAAGTAGCGGGGATGGAACATTTGCGGCCTTACTCTCCATTTCAACATATAGTGATGAACCCCATCAGATAGAGGCCAAGGCTGCAATCAAATTGAGCAACCTTTGCCTGTCTTGCTCGGGATCTGATGCTTGCTTCCGTCAGTCGGCTGGTGCCCTGCAGAGCGTCGTGCTTCATGACAGTTCTGGTTTGGTACAGTGCCGCTGTGAGCCTCGGATGCCGAGCACAAGCACTTTGGAAAAAAGAAGACAACACCATGTCCACGCCAGCCATGGGCCCGCTAAGACCTGGCCGCGGAGGCGTGTGGCCCGCATCGGCATCCTTCGGATGAGGCGGGAAAAACAGAGCATAGTGGAGAGATGCGCCGCATGAGAGATGGGAGGATGTCGAATGTGGCTTCCCGACTTCTCAGGGGACGCCCCCCAGCCGTGACCACACGCAGCTGGGCCTCGGCTGTTTGGAAAGTGCGGCGCATGTGCTTTTGCAGCACTGCCCCGCTTTCGCCGCAGTCATCGGGCCGGCCAAAGGCATCAGTGGGCACCAAACGTAACGTCTTTCGGCGCACATCAGAAACATTGGCCTTGGGCTTGTGCGCAAGGTGCAGAGAGACCTCTCAGGCAGCCGCCGCAGCGAAGGAAGCTCTCGAAGCTTTGAGATCTTTGGCGCGCCTTAAGTGATAGAAGAATCAGGACTGCCGCCCGGCCTACCTCCAAGGGTCGCCGAGAGTGTTTTGCTCATGTTGCTGAGAACCCACGTCTTGGGCGAGGACACCCACATACAGATTGATGTGCTCATACAGTCGTCGACATTTGCATCGCCCAACGCGCAGGAATTGGTGGATCTGGCATAGGCAGCATGGTTCATGGTTTGTGATGCTGTGGCATGCACGGCTGCTCACCCTGCGTTACCCTGCTCCACAGGCACGTGCCGTTTTGGAGATTCGCAGTGAGCTCCCTTCAAGAAAGACTGCGACAGCTGCTGCTTCCCTCGATGCGCTCGGCGTGAAGGACCTGGCAGCTGCGGCACGGGGATTTGCCAAGATGGTCTCCACGGAGCGACTGTCTTTCGCGGAGGTCAAGGCGACACAGCAGCTACAAACTCCAGACAAACCGAATTAGGCCAACATGTCGCTGAGTTAGTTCGCACACCGAGCGTGCACCAGTGTCAGGCACGTGCTGGCGTGATTGAGAAGGAGGCGCATGCAAAGGATATCTCAAACATTGGCCGGGAATGTGGCAAGGTCGTACACAGCGAGGCATCCTTGTCAGAGGCTCTTTCTCGTGCGGGCGAGCCTCAGCTCCCTCGGTCCAACACGCAGGGTCTCTCCAACCTGTCTTGAACCTCCGCTTCTCCACGGTCTTGCTCTACGCCAGCACCAAGCACAACAGCCTCTGCCGCCTCATCGCGGCTCTTGGAGCTTACCTTGCAAGGCCCCGCCAACTTGGCTTGGAGACTTGGGCGCTCAGACAACACGTGGGGATCCCCTTCGGAAGACACTGCCGGCACCGCGACCCCTTCTCTTCACAGTGGGGCCCCGCAGGCAACCTCCAACTTGGCCTGGAGCCGCGGGAGCCACGGCGTAGTTCGCGAGGTGCCGCCGCAGGCCGCTTCGTCGCTCGGAGACTTCCAGGAGCTCAAAGCCCAGCATCCGGCCAACGCTGCGCAGGGCCTCGGGCAGCTTCAAGCGAGGAGGGAACCCTCCACGGCCGCCCTTGGAGCGGAGGCGAAAGGCCGAACGGGCGGACCCAAGCTGCAGGAGCTCGCGGCTGCGGCGTGGAACCTTGGGGCCACGAAGTGCCGCGGCGACCCATCGCCGTCAGCGACAGCTGACGCCTGGAACTCGGAACTCCTGCAGAAATTGTGTGAAACTCGCGGGGACTTGCTGTGACTGCCTTTCGCTGAGGCCGGGCTGCGAGCTGATAAGCCTTGGAAAGCGCAGGAGGCGTCGAACATGCTGCGAGATCCCGGTACAGCTCAGGCACCCCTTCGTCGTCGGTCGTTGGTCGTCATCGTCGTCCGAGACTCTTGCAAACACTCGTGCCGCATGAGGCCGTGCAGACAGCCGTTTCGAATGCGCTCATGGAGGCAGCCTGTCTGACAACGGAGCTGTCAGCACAGGGCATTTCGAACGCAGCGCAATCCACGGGCACTCCGGCATCGGAGCATGACCCAGCGACGAGGGTTGCAGGAGCCAGAGGCGTGGAAGAGATCAGCGAGCTTTCCTTGCAAGGGCTGTCCAACACTGCGCGGATGCTGGGCTTTTGAATATCTCTGAATGTCTGAGCATCCTAAATCAAAGTTGGTGTCTGGATTTTATTGCAGCCAACCCAGGACTCCTGGAACTGCAGCAGCCTTTGATCTGCGGTTGCCGGAAGCTGCCGCAACTCGTTTTCGCAGCTTGCCTGTCCACGACTGGGCTCCTGGCGCTCGAGAGAGGCACTGGGACTGACTTAATGTGGGAAGCTGCATATTATAATAGAGTTATTAGAGTATGTTATAGTATGTTATAGTATATTATAGTATATTATGGTATATTACAGTTGGCCAGTGTTGTGGGTTAGCCCTTTGCGGAGCGGGCTGCCTTGCCGAAAAGCGGCTGCGTCTTGTGAGTCTTGCGCAGGCATGACCAGCTGCTCGGTCTCGTTTCTGCACTGGCTCTCTCCACGGGAGGCAAAGCCAAAGCTTCCTTGTGTCAGTCGAAGGGCCTCTGTCCCAGTCCTGTGGCAGGTGCCGAGCTCCCTCTCCTGCTGGATGTCGCCACTCGTGCTGAGGAGCTTCTGAGTCGGCGTGCCCAGGAGATGGATGCCAAAGATTCACGAGGGATTTCGCCGGACTTAGACGAGTTCAGGCCCAGAGCCGGCGAGAGGCCCAGCAACCGGCCCTGCATCCTGCTAGAGGGCCGGGAAGCGTGCGTCTTGTGGAAGCCACCTGGCTGGACGGTGTCCGTGGGAAGCTTCGATGAAGACGAGGAGGAGAAAGCCTGGCGAAGCGGTGCGCCGGGCCAGCCACTGCAGGCGTGGGTGCTTGAGAACCTGGGACCTCACTGGCCCATTGCCCGCGATGAGAAAGCCGAGTTTGGCTTGGTGCACCGCCTGGATCGGGATACGTCCGGCCCTATACTCTGCGCAAAAACCTACCGGGGATTTCATGGTCTTCAACTTTGCCTTGTTCGTTTCCAGTTGCGCAAGGACTATGTTTGCCTCTGTGAAGGCTTTCTGTCAGCGCCGCGCCTGCTAGATGCGAAACTCCGCATCGAGGGCTCGGGGAAATCCCTCCGCAGCGTCGTGGCGCCGAAGGGCCGCGGGCAGCGCGCCGTCCTGGAAATCCTGCAAGCTTCGCATTTTTTGACCGAGAACTCCGAAGCCGTGAGCCTGGTACGGATCCGCCTGCGCACTGGTCGAATGCACCAAATCCGCGCACAGCTGAGCGGGCTCGGTCACCCCTTGCTGGGAGATGTCCTCTACGGAACACCCCGTGCTTGGCTGCCCCGGATCTTTTTGCATGCCACGTCTGTCGGCATCAGCGTACATGGGTTGCACGGCGAGCCTTTTCAAGTGGACTGCGTACTTCCACCGGACCTGCAGCAGGCGCTCGTGCGCTGTGCACCACTGGACAGCTCCTCTCGGGCATGTCGCGAGAGCTGGCTGAGCCGCGAAAATGGACAGCGTTGAATCCAAAGTGAATGCGGTGCATGCTCTCCAAGTATTTCATGTGACCTTAGGCTTGAGCCGCCAGAGCCGCGAGCCGTATTCTCCAGAGGCGTCTCTGCCCGAAGCCTAGGGGTTCGAAGCTCAGATGAGGGTTGCTGCTTGAGAGAGCAGAGAGGTACCAGGGGGAAGACACTGGGATTGGACATGGAAGAGCGCCTGCGCTGAGATCGCATTGGTGCTTTGGGTTGTGAAGTGTTTAGGGATCTGCCACCGATGCCACTCTAAACTAGGGTCCCATTTAGGATCCTTTTTATAAGGGTGCCGCATCATTTTGGGGACCTAACAAGGAACCTTAACATCTTGTCAGTATGGCTCAGTATGGTTACTTGGCTCCGAGTTTCAGTGCCGGAGGTCATTGGAGCGATTGCTGAGGCCAGAGGCTGGAGTCGTCGATGGAGACTTTCCGGGAAAAGCGCCAGTTTGGCTCAGGGGCTTGTTCTGAAGCCGCTTTGACCTTTCACGCTTCACGCTGTGAGTCCGACCATGGAAGCCTGGGCGGACGCTCTGTCCTGGTTGACATCGTCATGCCGCTGCCTGAGACGTCAGCTGTGAAGCACAGCCGTGAAAGCTTCAATTACCGTGACTGCAAGGGCTTTGCGATGCGAGCCACCCAGAAGGCCTCGCGTGAAGAGTACTCCTTGCAGTTTCTTTGGTCATGATAAGTGATGCTGGAGACCTTGGCTTCAATGCTGCACCCGGCTCTCTGCTCTTTTATCAGGCTACGCTCGCGAGCCGGAGTTTGCCTGGCACCTGGTCGGAGTCGGCATAATAAAACAGTTGTGGGTAGGCTTCATTTCGTCCTTTCCTCCCAGCGGAGGTCGTCCACAGCGTTACCATGCCAGAGGAGTCGCCTGACTGCACATGTAATGCATAGACCTTGGGTAAGGCTTTTCCTTCAAGCAAGAGTCCGGTAGCAAGAAATCTAGCGGCTAGCGAAATCTAGGGTCCTGTTACAGTATCTCTACGCTCTGGTTGCTATTGTAAGGGAGACCTGACATGCTTGAGCTGAACCTCCTGGTGCCAGGGTCATCCGAAACGCTAATCCGAAACGATACAGGCCCTGAGCCGTAAGCCCCATACCCTGTGCCCTACACCCTCTAAAGGACCGGCCCGAACCCTCCACCAAACTCCGACTCCATCCCAGTGCCAGGGTGATGACACAGCTGTCGCCATACCTCTCGGCCCCTTGGTCGATATAGCACCGGGGGGCGGGGGGTTGGGGTTTAGGGCTCAAGGTTTAGGATTCAGGTCTTATGCGGCTTAGGGATGTGGGGCGACGGTCTAGGATTTAGGATTCAAAGATTGCTGGTTAACGAATAGGACTAGGACTTATCATATGGTTTCCTTCAGGATTTGGGGTGTAGTATTAAAGTTAAAGTGTCCTGGTTCCCGATCCCCGACACAGTGGATGCTGTTGTTTTGGCCTTCCTGCTCGGTCCTAGCCAGCACGATGCTGCACACTCGCTGACTGCTAGGCTCGTTTCTCAAACCCGGTCACTTCAGCCTCGACCCTCTAACCCCCGAAACTTTAGGGAGAACTCAGGGTTCAGAGTTCAGGGTGTAGTAGGGTCCGCGGTGTTGGTTCCGGGTTTGGGGCTAAGGTTTAGGGTTCAGGGTTCACGGAGTGCTTTCGGTTTGGGGCTTCAGGTTTTTTTTTTCGGTTCGGATCTTCAAACAACAAACACCAGGGTCGGACGAGGTGCAGAGCCTGGCGCCACTTCGCGGCACCTGCCGTCAGCCGGCGAGTACTGGCGAACAGGCCTCCGGGCGCTGCTTCTGTGAGGGTTTCGGGTCTAGGGCTTTAGGGCTTCAGGGCTTCTGGGCCTTAGGGCTTCAGAGGTTAGGGCCCATGGTTCAGATATGTTCAGATGGTGTCAACTTAGCTGTCCTTGCTTGTGGTATGGAGGAGTTTCTTTTTCGGGGAAGTCGGTTCAGGCTTTAGGCTCGGGAGTCCTTGCGAGGGGTTGTAGAGTGGATTTGGATTTCGAGGGGACCGGAAAAGAGTGGGCTTTGAGAATGAGGGGCCTCTTTGCTCCAGCACGGGCTTTTGTTCCCTGAGCCCTTGCTGTGACCATCCTTTCCAGACTGAAGCAGTCTTCCATGCATTAAACGTCCGACGCTCAGATCCGGCAGCCTTTTGTTTCATTGATTGCAGTGGCAACCAGTAGTATACAGGCCGCGAGTAAGCCCTGTCACAATGTCGTTATGGGTGCTCATCGGTTTGATGACACTCACCGGAAGCCAGGGGGAGGTGATGATGTCTCCAATCGGAGAACACCCGCCGAAGGATCAAGACGCTCCCCGGTGGCAAGATCGGCACATCCAGCACCACGAGCACCACGACCACCACGTCACCATCGCAGGCCACCGCGGACAGGAAGGCGACCATGGTAACCAGAATGAAGTTGTGAGCATGTCCCAGATGAGCCTGACCTTCACCACCGGGCTCGCTGCAACGATGGCCTTTGAGGAGGCCTGGCTTGGCGAACTCGCACCAGACTGGTTTTGGGACCTGGTGGACTCTGGAGGAGACCTGTGCAGGTCCGGAGTGACAGCCGAGGAGCTTGGCTCCCTGTTGAGCGAGCAAGCAATGCAGCAACAAGACTTGCATGCCGAGTACTACCTGCACACGGAACCGGTACGAAATCGGCTTCTTAGAGCATGGGAGGTTGTTTGCGCCCACTACCTGACCCGAGACCTCCCGATGCCACCAGGGCTAAGCGCGCCGGTGTTTGCTCGCCTGGCTGAAGAAGCCATCAGAGATCAATGGTACCGCTCCCGCTGCGGGCTCACCGCAGGACATGCACAGGAGCAAACTGATTGCCGATCCAGATCGCGCAGCCCAGTGCAGATGCCCCGGCCTGGAGTTGAGGACCGCGAACAACCCAGTGGTGCATCAAGTTCCTCAACCCAGCTACCCGCTCTACGTAATGATTCGGGACTACCTGAGGCCCCGGGACTACCACACCCACAAGGTGATGATCGCCAAGAACTCCCTCCACAGGCACTACCAGGACCATCTTGTGACCTCGAAGGTGCTCCGCTGAAATTTTCGATTCGTCCTCCATCCGACCTCATGGAGGGCCAAGACGAAAGTGATTCACACGCTGGGTCCGACCGCTCCGATCTCGTACAGGGGCTTGATATTCCTGAAACCGCATGGAAAGCTTGGGAGCAGGGCATGATGTTGCAAGATGCCTTCGCTTACGCCCACGCCCTCGTCGAGAAGACAGCAAGCCGTGAGAGCCTGGCAACAGGGCTTGAACGACTTCGACATTTGGCCGTACCCTTTGGGGGGTACTACCCCGCTTCCAACGTGGAAGGCATCTCGGCAAACCTGGCCAGGATCGGGCTTGAGTTGGCGACAAGCTGTATGCCCTCTGCAACCCCGGCTGGGCATAGCAAAGATGATGATTCCTCCTTGGAGGTACCACAACAACCCCCTCCACCAGACGAGGGTGACGAGGCCGGCTTCATGGACGACAGATGGAAGAAGGCGGAGAAGAGGGGGAAAAGCCCCACCAGACTGTGGAGAGAGCTGCCTGCACACCGCAAGACGGAAACGGTTCGCAGATTGAACCCTCCGTGGAAAAAGCAGGGCAACCCGCCACTGCAGAACAGGGGGACAGAGGCATCACCACGACCGCCGCGCTCCCCGCCACATCCGCCGAGAAGTTCGCCCAAACCAAAGGCAAGGCCGGACCACTGCAGAAAGCGAGACAGAGAGGAACCGAGAACCGAGGCTCCACCAGAAGAATTGGAGACGGTCGAGGTCGAGGATGAGAACCAGCCCCTATCGGTGGAAGACGCCCTGGCCATCTGGCAAGCTTTGCTAGAGATGGAGCACGGAGGCGCATTCAACCCAGATGCCCCGACGCTCCCACCACACGTTGCCGACAACATCGTGGAGACGCTTGTGGACAAGCCAGAAGCTGAGCACAACCTCATGGCGGATGTCCTCCCCTTGTTCCTTGGGAGGATCCATGCAGACCTTGCAAGAGCTTTGGAAAGAGCACGACAGTTGAGGGCCACCTTGACCGGCACCACGGACCAGCATGACCCCTCCAGGCCTAGGGGCTCAGATGACCCACCGGGGCCTCCTCATGAAGAAGAAGAGGATGACAACTGCCTCATGATGCAGACCACCCTGCACCAGAGCGTCAGAGCAATGGCATCAAAAGAGGATCTCCTCCTGTCTAAGCTCCACCGATCGCTGCAAGCAATGGAGCCAGCCATGGCGAGCAGCAGGGCATTGCGACTCGCCAGCCTGCTTGCGGACCACGACGGCCACTTGGAGGTTGACCGAAACCTCCTCGAGGCGCTCCTTGTGGCGACGAACGAGGACACACCTCCCTTGCCGGGAGGGGACAACCTCCTCATTGAGCATGCATGGTGTGCAACATGGTGGAGGAGACTACGAGGACTCCCGGAGGTCGATGCAGCGGAGGTTGACAGCGACTTGGCCGCCTTGGACGAGCACCTAGCCCAGCAAGGGACAAATGAGCAAGAGGCAGAAGAAGCCCACCAGGCAGCCCAAGAGGCCATGTACCTCAGAGGGCTGGAGGAAGCCTACGAGCACCACCAGGAAGCCCTCAAGTCGGAGAGATGTCAGGCAGCTGACGACCAGGCCATCCACGATGCTATGGGGTACAGCCGGGCAAGGCCTAAAAAACGTCTCTGTCTCGGTATCTGCATCACAAATGGCGACATGACGAAGGCCTTTGACTTCGAGATTGATGAGTCCCACCCGGTCCAGATCCATGTTCTGGCAGAGAACAAGGAGTGGCCAGGTCAATGGTACCGCAAAGGACAACCAATCCCAGAGACAGAAGTGCCCCAGACGGTCAAGGATCAGCTCGCACCTACGTCGGCAGCCTCGCATGAACGGCCCCGTCAGGACAGTCACGTCAAGAAGTTCGACATCACGAAGCCGACGACTAGAAACCTATATGAACGGTGGAGGCAAGGCGAACTGTCCGACCAGACTGTCGTTTCGATTGGAGGTATTGGGCTGCTAACCTACTACCGGGGCATAGCCGACGTACCAGATGAAGTCTGGGATGACCTAGCCGCTCGTGACACCCTCACACTTGAGCTTCCTGCTGAGCAGCCAGACCCCCTGATGCCCATGGCGCTCCCACCGACCATCCCGGAGGACTCTGAGGTACCACAACCGCCGGAAGCTCATGCAGGCACAACACCTGGACCGGACTCGGCACCGACGCAAATTTACCCGGAGGACTTCCAGGACAACGCGTCGCACAGAGAACAAGGGGGACCGGAGCCGAGCACAGGTGAGTAGCAAGTGAAGGTAGGCCAAGCCTGTGAGCGGAGGTGTACGTGACTGTTGTCCTACTCATCATTAGTGTTTGCTTCAAACCTTCGTCGTGCACCGACACGACACCGGCTTGGGGACCATGGTGTACAGTATGTTGGATGTGCAGAGATGTCTGCTGTGGTCGCTGAAGGGTGGAAAGAGTTCAATGTAAACTGGTTCTCACTTATGGATAATCCTTGTTTATCATATACCGGAGTGTTGCCATGCATTGTGATCTTGTACAGCTACCGGTGTGCTCATTCGGCCCACACGTTCCCCTTCCCTTGTTACCCCTGTAGTCCTTGATACTACCGAGATGCCGAGTGAGCCACCCTCTCTTGAGCCCATCGTCCGAAAGCCCTTACATTTCGTTTTCACGTGTTCAGCTGTTTTCCTGGTAGGACTTTCGGCATAGAAGGGGTCAGGCTGCCGTGTCTTCCGTACAGGCTCTGCTTGCATGAGAGTCGACCGCCTTTTGCTGTTTGTATTCTCAGTCTTCTCGGCTTGATCTTTACTTGCTAGACTTGGATTCGGCGACTCAAGGGCTAAGCATTGCGACACTTGCCTGTCAGGCGACGTCTGTCAGGTGACATCTGGAGCCTCACGACTTGTGCTGTACTTTTCCTTATGTTGCCTTATTATCTTTCTATCTTCTTCACTGGTTGAGGCTCCAAGCTGACTCATCCTGAGAAGGATTTCTACTGTATCTGCAGACGGAAAAGGGCCCATAAAAAAAAAAAACCTCGAAACCTCGAGGCCTTCCAGCAGCTACTGAAGCTGCCTGCGACGAGGCCGGGGCTCCCTAAACCCAAAACTCTCCCCTAAGCCACCCCGAAGGGGTGTTTCTTAGAGAGCCGTGCTCTTCCCCCAAAAAGCCGAAGGCCTAGAGGACCCAACACGCCTGGAGGCGCCAGCAGATCCACAAGGTGGATAAGCCGCGATCCGCAGAGCAGTGGGCCACTCTGACGAGTGGCAAAGAAGATTGCAAGTGGCACTCGCCGAGCAAGCGCCGCTTCATCCAAGACATCTCCGGCGAGTGGGTGCTCTACACCCCGACAGGGTCAGTCTTCGACGGCCTGAAGGAGTACCTGCTCCTGACCCATTTCCTACCGGCGGAGCCGCTGCCCTCGAAGACCGAGGACATCCTCTTCGCCAGCCAGGTGCAAGTCTTCCACGCGACCAGCCTGCGGCTTTTGAATCCGCGCGGCTGGCACAACCTAGCCCACAGAGGCTGGCCTTCATTTCCTCGAGGGCTTCAAGACCCCAATGCAAGACCACGCAAGCTTTGTTAGGCATGGGAGGTTGACAGCCGCAGCAACAGCATGGGCGGCGAAAACTTCCGCGTGTATTTAGTGAAGGGGGCGGGGGCGGGGCGTGAACTAGCAGATCGAAGCTTGGCATGTTGTAAGTGTGCAGCTCGGTGCAGACCCCTTGCAGCAGACCCCTTGCAGACCCCTTGCAGACCCTAGTGACCTAGTGCTTGGGCAATGACCCGGCAGACGCACGTCGACGGATGCCGCATCGAAGGACTGATGTGACCCTTGTCACAGAGCCGAAAAGCCTGCTCATCGGGGCTTCCGTTACAGAACAACTGCGGCAGTACAGTGCCCGTGATGGCATTCACACCTTTACCAGCAATTTGCGAAGGGTATGGCGATGCACTACCTAAGCCATATGAAGAATTTCGGGTTGGTGTTGGCATTGATAGTTTGCATTCATGATCCCGTCGCTGCTGGAAACTGCAGAGCCACACGAGACTCTGTAGTCGGCCGTGTTGTGGAATGAGGCAAGCTGCAATCTATTGCCATCCGCAATTGGCCCGGCTGAGCATGACTGGCGAGAGGACTGTCGCACCTGGTCCGACGAACCATTGCTATCAGACTTGAGGTGGTGAAGGTAACAGCGGCAAAGGAGGCGTAGTGTTACATCACTTAGCACAACGCGAACCAATCTGTGAAGCTGGCTCGGCTCAAGATGCTGGAGGAACCACCCCCACGCAGACAATAGAACACCGACTCTGTCGTACTTGCCCTGGATGTTCCTGGGTTTCCAACTGAAGCAGATCGCAAGGACGCTCTGGTAGCTAGCTCCAGAACTCATACAAATTTTTCCCGCTCGAACCAGCTCTATAGCCCGCTCAGAACTTCTAAAGCAAGGTCAGGCCAGGAGACCAAAGCCAATCCGAGCGAACGTGGCGATGCAAAACAGCACATCGGTCGATGAGGCTTACGGGAGGTAACTCGGGGGAAGTGTTAGAGGCAGCTGGGACGGCCCTGCAGGCTCTTTGCCGCAAGGCACGCCTGGAGATTCCGGGCTTCGTGGAAAAACTGTTGCCCCAGGTGGTAGAACTGGTGTCTGGACCTGAGTCGGGTAACCCAATGCCAGCCTTTTCTCAACATCTTGCAACCTGCTCAGGCGCTTTTCCAAGCTCCTTCCGCAGGGCGAGGAGCATGCCATTCGGAGGCCCTCAATCGAAGAGCACTAGCAGCGTGCTTTTTTTGGGGCATGTCGGTGCCGAACGAAGCCTAAACCCTAAACCCGAAACCCTAAACCCAAAACCCGAAACCCTAAACCCGAAACCCTAAACCCGAAACCCTAAACTCCATTTCAGCCGAAAGCAGGGGCTCCCGGGATTTCTTGGCCTCCTCCCGAGAGCTGGGGGAGCGCTCCATGGGAGCCGCGCACGCCTCGGCAAGAGCAGGGCCCAATTCGGAACTAGGGACGTAGGGTTTAGGGCTTAGGGTTTAGGGGTTTAGGGGTTTAGGGTTTCGGTTTAGGGTTTAGGATAAGCTAACATGAGGGATGATGTTATGTAAGTAGAATGCACGGGAGATGTTCTGCAGCACTAGGACCTCAACGACGTACGAATGTTGCTAGGGACCAGCATGCAAGGAGTCTCTCGAATGCAAGAGGTGTCTTGCAACATAGCTCCTGCGCCCGTCCGAGGCTCACCAGATCTTCAGCTTCCTGGCACCTTCGTTGCATCAGGGCACCAAGCCGGAGGACCGCCCTTCACGACCTCTTCGACTGCTCTAAAGAGTCGGCTTGCACGGGGCCGTGGTATACGCGTGGGCTTGAAAGTTGGAGCTTCTGTGTAGAGGGACCCTGGACCTGCCTGCCATGTTGTGGCTCTTGTTTCAGCATCGCTCGCCAACATTCTTCATTATCACAGTAGATCCAAGCACGTCGCAAATCGCAAAGCTTTGGAACCACCGGGTGCATCTGCACACAGCGCAATGATCTGTGCGGTGTCCGGAGCTCGTTCGAAGGGCCTGCAGGCAGGCTCTGCATGACGAAGCCCTGATATATCACAACTCTCCCTGAAGCCGGCAGCAGGCAATGGCAGCGATGCGGGGGCTCCGATTCTTCTCCAGCAGACCCGGTCCACTGGCAGGCGCATGCGAGAAGCCGGTCCCGAAGCAGAGAGCACTGTCCCGCTGCCAGGAGTGCGAGTGCTGGACATGACGCGAGTGCTCGCAGGACGTCTTCATCATAGAAACCACAGAAAGCCCCTGTGAAGAAGATGACCTCTAACCGATCTGTGTCCCGAGGACCCTCCTGCACCCAAGTGCTGGGAGATTTGGGTGCTGAAGTGACGAAGGTCGAGCGGCCGCAGGTGGGAGACGACACCCGCGGCTTCGCGCCACCGTTCCTCCCCGGGGCGGCACAGGACATCATCTTCGGGTGGTGCAGCCAGTTCGCGTTCACGGTCTAAGTCTATGTTCTGGGTTAGAGGCAGAGGGTTTGGCGGGATGATGCTCGAGTCTGATGCCTCAGGAGACAAAGGCCATGGCTGCGTATTTCGCAGCACAGAACCGCAACAAGGCCTCGTTGACGGTAAACTACACCCTGCCAGAGGGACAGGACTGCTGCCGAGTTCCACGGCGTGCTTGCTTTGCTGCGGGGTCTGTTGCCTTGCGAGGACATCCTGCGGCGTCTCTTGAAGACCAGTGATGTGTTGGTGGAGAACTTCAAGACGGGGACTTTGGAGAAGTACGGTCTTGGTGCCCGGGCCAAGTTCATGACTGTGTGGCATCTGGGAAGATGCGGATCGGCGTGGACACCTTTATGCGAGGCTATGATGATCTGAGACACAGCTTCCCCTCCCTGGTCTACTGCTCCATCACCGGCTTCGGACAAACGGGGCCCTACAGCCCTTGGCCCGAGTCTGGTCTGTGCTCTCGTTGGATCTCCGCCACTGCGTTTTTCTGGCGCTGTCTTAGGCCCACGGCCGGGATACGATGCTCTTGTCCAGGCTTGGTTGAGGGAGGGCCGGTGCGCCGGTGCATGTGCGAATATTTTTGAGTTTTCAGAGGCGATGGGCGGTTTCATGAGCGTGACCGGCGAGGTGGAGGGAGAGCCGATGAAGGTGGGAGTTCCCATCCATGACCTCTTTGCTGGCTTGCATGGCGCACCCAGGCTGCAGAAACTGCTGCGCAGTCGATATTGATATGATTTGCTTGGGGTGTGCTGCACAAGGTGATCGGCATTCTGGCCGCTCTTCGCCACGCCGCCATGACTGGGGAAGGGCAGCATGTGGACGCTCGGCCCATACACTGGATTGACCATCTCGCCCTTCCCTGCTTTCGCGCGAGTCGCTTGCATCGCTTGCTTTTGCGGCATGCGAGGACATTGGAATGTTGGATGTGTCTACGGCGAGGGTCTCGGGTTTTGTTGCCGGGTGATAAACGCAGGGAGGGTGGAAAGGCCTTGCCTTCCCAGGCAATGCTGGCGAATCAGGCGAGCAACTTCCTTTCCACGGGAAAGGTACCGGACCGGCTGGGGAACCAGCATCCCAACATCGTTCCTTACCAGGCTTGGACCTCAAGAGTCGCAGCTTTGGCGGCTCGGAGCCGCGCTTCGAAAGGTCATGCCAGCCTCGGACGGTTACTTTATCCTCGCGGTTGGGAACGACCCCACCTTCCAGCGCTTCGTAGCGGTCGCGGACAAGGCCGGGGGCGGCAGAGCCGGCGGAGACGAGCCCAACCCCGAAAGATCCGCCTCAGGCGGATCCAGCGGCGAAGGCTCCGGCACTGCTGGACGACGGCCGCTTCAACTCGCAGTCTGCCCGCGTGGAGAATCGGTGCGCGACCAAAGCTGGCGCAGGGTTGTCTTGAAACAAATCTTGGACCACTTGCTCCTGAAAACGCCGCAGGAAGCTGGTCACGGACACCTGCAATGCCATAACGAGGACGGTCTTGCTGATTGGGCGTGCTTTGCCTTGCGGGATGAGCATGGCATAAATCGTCGTCGCGACCGCAGGAAGAAGCCAGTGGAGTGGTGGCTACGTGAACTGGAAAGTGCGAGCATCGGCTGCTCTCCAATCAAAAACTTACAAGAAGTTTTCGAGGACCCACAGGTTAAGGCGCCACTCGGCTAGCGACAGCCCTACATCTCCTTGTCGGAGCGTTCGTTTCGACAGTTGCACTCTCCGCTTGTTGCCGGGATCCAAGGCGGGAGATGGTGATTGACATGCCCATCGAAGGCTGGCGCATGCTCGCGCGGGGACAGGGAGCCTGACGGGGTGCTTCCTCTTGGTCAGGTCATGCCCCGGCCAAGCTGGTGGCCTCGCCCCTGAAATTCTCTTCGCCACTCTGCAGTTGTTGGCATTCGAAGCTCTGGCTCAGCTTTTTTTGTGCTTTGTGGCCTTAGGACGCCCTGCTCGTACCGGCGGCCTCCGCCTGGCCTGGGCGAGCACACGGAGAGCCTCCTCGCGGATGCCGGCTTCAGCACCAAAGAGATTGCGCAGCTCCGTGAGAAGGGTCGGGGCCCCGGGCAGGTCGTGGCTTGTTGCTGTTTCCTTGCATGCCGCTGTTCTGCCAAGGTGTTGTTTAAGAAGACAGCTAGCAGCCTTTTGCATTGAGCCGCGCGAGATGTACAGCTTGCCGTGCCAAAGAAGTGCCGGTAAGACGGCTCATTTCATTGAATGCCAGCAGAGGTGCAGAAAAGCCCTTGCAGCGGATCCGAGATTCTGCTTATACAAGCTCACCAGTGTCTCGCTTCCGCTGCGAGGATTTGAAGAACTTCAACCTCTTGGTGGACAGCATTGACGATGTATTGGAAAAGGTGGACACAAATCTCAGGCGGGGTTGTGCTTTGCAGCTGCAGCACTATCGGCAAGACAGGTGGTAGTTGTTTGCCTCTCATGCTGAAGCCAGGGATGCCAAGTCTGGCAAGCAGGCAGAGGCTACCTGCCCGTGCACGCTTTCCTGTGCCAATGGATCTGCGGACTTGTTGGCATTTTCGCTTGTCACTTGCCTCTCCTCTCCCCCTCTCCCCCTCTCCCCCTCTCACTCTCCCTCTCTGCTCTGCCTCTGCCTCTCCCCGCTCCTCTCCCTCTCCCTCCCCTCTCCTCTTTTCGATGGTGCATGCCTAGCTGCTGGTGCTGCTTTGCTGGATGCAAGCGCAATGCACTAGAAGCTCAATCCTGCGTGCTGGCTAGCTTCATTTCGATTCTGCTGAGGAGGCTTCGGGTGGCGACGAGGAGGAGCCGGCGCCGACTCCCTCGGCAGGCCTTTGGAACTTTCGGCCCTGCGGGAGGGTGTGTTTTTTTTTTTTGTCGAAAAGTATATTTGTTGATTTTGCAGGCTTCGTGTCTGAAGGTTGCCCACAGGTCTCCAGACTCCAGACCCAACATCAGCCAGGCTTCCTGCGTCCCGCAGTTGACGTTCTATCGTTTCGTTCACTGCGCAATTGCCGTTCATGCTGCGATACTCTCAAGTGCATCGCGGCGGAGTCGGCCACTTCGACATGCCATTGGTGCAACGTTCATGCCACAGTACTGCGGCACTCGCAGGAAACATCAACCCCGTTTGGTCCAGTTTGTCTGGACTCTGCACGAGGTTATTTTCGTCTCCGATTCTGTCAATCCTGATCAATCCGCGAACCCCTGCAGAGCCGCGCGCGCCTAAAGGGTGAGCATGCCTGGTGCAGACACCCAAGCTGGGAAGGCAGATGCTGGAAGCACTTGCGAGAATTCAGCTCGATTGGTGCTGCAAAACTTTGCAGTCCTCGTCTTTGCTGGGCGGTCCTAGTCAGTTGGGCTTCTCATGTCGCTTGTGAGCTCTGTTGTTCCTTTAGTTGGTTCTAGCTTAACGGTACCGACGCAGCCCGGGAGTCACACCAAAAGGGCGAACACAAGCAAGGACAAACAACAAACTGCACCCAGGCAGGGTTCTGCTGGCACAGGGCTTGAACTCCTTCAGTCCAGGATTTGGTTTGGTCTTGGGTTAGGTTTAGGAGTAGGACGTCTAAGACTGTTCGGCCGTCGCAGGTTCGCATGCCGTCCGCGCGGCGAAGCCGCAGGTGCAAGCTCAGCCCTTTGCCAACTTGGCTTGCATTGGGTCGGCAGGTGCGATGGCGTCAGCTTGTCGACAACCACCGGAAGCGCTTTGTGCCCAGGCACACGTAAAAGCGAGGGTTGTTTTGCTGTTTGTTCATGGCCATGCATTCACGTGGCTGTGCAGACTTTTGGTGAAGCACAACGAGAAAACTCCGCTGAGCCTCATGCTCTTGGAAGCCCAGTGCAAGGCAAGGTGTCCCCTAAACTGAACTGCTGGGCCGCAGAATGAATCGTCTCTGAAGCGAGATGTTTGCAGGCTGGAATCCGGTCGTCTTCCGGAGTGGCATTCTCAGCATCGCCAGCATTGCGACTGTCCGAAGTATGGAGGCGACTTGTAAATGAGGTGCAAGCGCCGCAGACCCATCAGGGTGGAGACGATGAGGCTGCGTTGGACAAGGTTGTAAGCTTGATTCGCCGTGGTTCTTGATGACTCTATCCGTAGCAAGCTTTGCCTTCGAAAAACTGAGCAGAGGGTGTATATGCCGACGCTGAAGCAACAGTATGGTGGCAAGTTGTGGCAGTGTTCGAGCCAAGCCGCCGGTTAAAGGATCCTCTTCCCAACCCGTACGAAGAGGACCTTGCTGGTTCTGCTTTCATGACACTGCGTCAGGTCAACACATCCATGCTTGCTTGCAGTCAGTGTCAGTGTAGCCAGTCTGGAGCACATGCTATTGTATCGCGAGCGATTCTGGCTCAAACTCCAGCCCGTTCATCAGGCCTTTCCAACACCATGCGTGTTCGTCCCTTAGACGTCTCCAAAGGGCTTGCAGAGTCGAAAACCAAGATCCGATCACAGATGCAAGCGTGGCATTCGGTCTGCAGGTTGTTCTTGCATGTCTCCTGGCCACCGCCGCGGCAGCTAGCCTCCTCGAAGGCACTCCAGAGGTCTTCTGAAGACCTCTCAAACCCTAAACCCTAAACCCTAAAGTTTTTGTTTCCATGACAGGGTCTATGAGCACGGCTACGCAGTCAGGGCATGCAGGGCAATGTTACTGAGTGAGGGCAAGGGTTTAGGCCTCCTGCTTCCAGCAGGTTCCGAAAGCTCTAACCAGCAGACGGAAAAAGGTGCTCAAAAAAATAAAGAGTTTTTGTTTGAACCTGAGATGAAATCCGATTTGGGCCCAGACCTCTCGGAGCAGCTGGGCGCCGAGCGCGCCTCCGCGGTGGAACGCCGGGCCCTTCCGCTGGAGGCCGTGCTCCGGCCGATTCTGCAGGCCCTCCGAGGGCTTTCGGAGCGGGAAGTCATACTGTAGGAACCTGATTAAGAAACGGATTCATATAAGGAGCCCTAATAAAGACCCAAGGTTTCTTAATCAGGTTCCTATGTTGCGAATATTACCTTATCACAAAAAAAGTTAGACTCTGTCGCGCCATTCACCAAGCGATACCGCTAGTTGTGTGCGTGGCCTCAAGATCTGGAGACTGATGTCTCCTGGGGTGGCTTTCTGACTCTGGGTATGTGGGGGTAGGCAAGCCGCCGGTTTGATTTGGAGCCACGAATTGGACAAACGAAGCGAGGAACTCGAGAGCCTGAGCGGTGCATTTGTTCACACTGACACTGTTGTATTGCATGTCTATGTACGGCCGAGAAGAGGGAGGTATGTGCGGAGACTTGAACTGACAAGGCCAACGATCTCAAGTCTTCTCCAGGTTGAGTGTGGGGGATTGACTTTGGAATTCCAGCTGTTGCCAAGCTTGGTATCGATTTGCTGAAGTTCGGCAGGCTCTTCCCAAGTCCGGCTCTGGAAACTGCTTGGGAGCCGCTGCAGCCCGCTACGCCCTTCATCGAGTCTTCGTTCAGGAGCGGGGGAGCCGTGTGTACTCGAAACGCTTCTGTAGCTTCCATTGATCCTTGCAGGAGAGGGGCTGGTTCGTAAAGGGCCTGCAAGAGTTGGACCCGTCACGCCACTTGTCTGAATCTGGCCTGATTGCAGCATGTGGAATGAAGAGTCAACACGAGTCATCATCGAAGCAACCATGGGCGTGGCAACAAGAAAATCATGGCGGCGTAAGCGACATTGTTGGAGACATGAAGGAACGGCCCACTGGCACACATACAAACTATCCACATCCCGAGCGCCCTTTGCTTGAATTGTGTCGTGCCGGCCCCGGGGCAAGCACGTCATTTTGCAATATTTTGCAGACATTTCTCAATCTGCGAGTACTGTTCTGGAAGAGGCGTCGTGGCCAACGCAAGCACGGTCGTGGCGTCGCCAGTTGCGATCCTCCAGGACCAGGTGCCTGAAGCTGTGAAAAGCCTCTTCGAAGTGCCGCTGAGGCGGGCAAAGTGGCGCATCACGAGTGCTGGGCATTCTGCAGACGTGTAGAGCAAATGCATGTTCTTGCTGAGAGGCAAGAAGGGCTTTGCCTGCGAGAGCTTGCAATGCTGGCAGCCTTGCTGGAAGATCTGGTGCCTCGCCCCATCGAACTCTCAGCAAGAACGGCATGCTTTTTTCATGGCCCCGCATGCCCTTCCGACCTTCTGACAGAGCCTGCCACCACTAGGTTCACCGGGAGACGATGCAGCGTGTTGGCAGCGCCTTCAAAGCGCACCATGTTCCCCTGGTCGGCCGCGTCACCGTGGAGAGGGTGACGGCCATGTTGGAGTACGTGATGATGAGCTACATCCTGGAGGTGGGAAGGGCCGGCCGCGTAGGGACTACTGGCTCGGTGGCCAGCTTTGGAGTTTGTGCAGGTCGCAAGTCTGGATGGGACCAATCTGGTGGCAGACGATGCCAAGGCATACTTGGAGGGGCGGCTTCCCATGGAGGACGTGTATCCTTCTTGGCCCAAGACGCAAAAGTTCATCCGCGACATTCAGGACACATGAGCTCTCGAAGGGCTTTTCTTTCCCTGTGTCCGGGTTCAATCTGCAGTTCCTTGCACAGGAAGTGGTGGCACCTTCGCAAAAGGGCAGTCTGAGCTTCGAGGATGTCACTCATATCGTGGAGGAGATCAATGAACACTATGGCCGCTGGCACGACGAGAGCGACTGCGCAGATATGAAGGGTGTGTTGCTGAACATGGAGGGGAAGTGCCCTGGTCGGGTGGATCTCTCGCGATTCTATGCGGCATCCCTCTACGAGGATCGCTGGCAGTTCAGCGAGAGCGCCTCTCGGCTGGGCCCGGACTCGAGGAAAGCTGGGGGAAATGTTGGGTACCCTTCTGTGCTGCTCAGGTTCACTACTTGCGCGACTTGGGGGCCCTCGACGAGAGCCAGCCGGAAAGCAGTGTCATCGTGTCCAACTACGTCTTGGGGGCCTCGAACTGCGTGGGCACCTCGCGATTCTACGCCCAGTGCTGCGTGGACCCCTGCGACCAGCTCCTGGAGCTCCGGCCAGCAAAGACCATTCTTGCAGAGGAAGAGGAGAGGAGGAGGAAGAGGGAGCGTTCAGTGAAGAGGAGTCGGGTGAGTCGAAGCGCTTTCCTAAGGCTCAGCTGGAGAAGGCCCTCGCTGCTCCGAGGGCTTCGGCGTCGGACCTGAAAGCAGCTCTGGCGGCTCTGCCGGCTCCGGACTCCACGGTGCGCCCTCCATTGGAGGACCTCCAAAAGGCACGCGTGGCTCCTTTGCCCTCCCTGCTTTGTAGAGTCTTGGGTCTTGGGCAGTCGGCAGTCTGCATGGGCGAGGCCTCGACGGACGGTCTCGTGGCACTGCATGGTCGCCTATTTGCGCAGTGGCTGCACCACGCGTACCCGCGGCAGTGCCCGATGCCAGCACGTGCCGGCATGCGCCTCTGGCAAGAGCTGCCGAGGGATTTCACTCTGCGTACAGGCCGGGTGGCATTGGATTTTGTTGGGGGTTTTTTGCAGAGAGGAAAACGCTCTTCGAACTTCGCCAGACCGGGCCCAGGCCAAGACTATGCGGCGACCCATGAGGAGATGAAGCGATACGCAGACCAGAAGCGCTCCAAGGAGGGAGTATGCCGGCTTCCTTGGATTTCGGAGGACACTGTCCGAACACGCACACGATGCCATGGAGTGCTAGAGCCACTGAAAGCCCGTAAATTTTCCCGGTCCCTGTATTTCGGGAGGAATTGCTGGTGTCGGAAATGCCCGCGACGGCTTCGGTCGTGCCACCCGATGTGGCCCATTCCCTGAAAGCTGTCTTGGACAGCGGCGTGGCCAAGACGCTGTGCCTGGTGGGCTTCGCTCTAGTGGTGATGGTGGCGGGGATGGGCGTGGCGAGGCGCAGGGGTCCGAGCTTCCGCACGGGGCCCCCTCCTGGCCACGGAGGCGCCGGAGGCGGTGCAGCCCGCCTCTTGCGAGGCCTAGCGGAGCCTAGCGGAGCCTAGCGCCATCGGATCTCGGCAAATCTCGGCAGGGAAAAGAGAGTGTGCGTTGGTGGTGGGTGCACCCGATCCAGCAACACACATTTTTGCTTGCTTGCATCACGTGAAACACCTCGTGCCAGGAGCTGAGTGCCTTGTCTTGGCCGGACGAGTTCTTTCGGCCGCAGGCCTGTCGCTTCAACCGCATGGAGGCGTGCAGAATCGTCCGCAGTGTGACACAACAGCAGCGTCTGTCCGAACTGGAGCCGGCGCCGCCTCTAACTGTTGTGCCTGCAGGATACACCCTTGATCATGGTCCGTACAGAGGAAGAGCTGAAGGAGATGGTGGAGGAAGAGCACTGAGAGAGTTAGTTGCATCTTAGCCAGACTTGAGCAGATTGTCAAGCAATACTTGTGCGGGGTTGATGTGCTGACTGTGGAGGAGATCAAAGGAACCTGCATCGGACAGGAGATTGCTGTGGACGTTGAGCATCACGATTTCAGGCAGGATCTGAAACTCTCGCGAGAACCTTTCAAGGCTTTAGCTGCTGTCTTTCCCAAGGTCATTTCGTGGCTTCGTATGCCTCATCCAGGCTGAAGCTTGATCCGCTGTGGGTCTTGTCTTCCTGCCGTGTCTTTGCGTGCAAGGTGTCCACTCGGAAGAAGGACTTCCTGATCGACCCCTTTGACATCTTCGAGCAGCTGCACATGCTCAATGAGGCCCCAGATCCAAAAAATTCAGCATCGCCGTGCTGCTGCAGAGTTGCACTCCAGGTTTTTTCCGATCCGCGCATCGTGAAAGTGCTTCACGGCGCGGACCGCAGGGTCCTCGGCAGCTGGTGGACTTGTGCGTACTAGTCGAGAAACGGAATTGGCTGACGATTCTCCTTAGGTGACGTGCTTTGGCTACAGCGCGACTTCTCGATATACTTGGTGAACATGCCAGAATCCCATCTACGCCCATCTGAGTGTGATCGCCTCTGATATGCACGGCAGAAGTGCGAGGTTTGACACGGGCCTTGCCACCCGTGCACTGCGATTGCAAGGCACTGCCGGGTTTGGGCTGTCTTTGGTGGTCAACAGCCGTGACAGGCGGTTACTCGCTCGCCAACCTCGTTTCCCACTTCTGTGGGGTACGATTCTCACTGCGAGATCAGGGACGCGACAGGGGAGCTTGTGAGTAGCACATGCCGTTGTGCCGTGTTCGCACCCACCGGCTTCAGCAAGAGCCAGGCATAGAACCAGTCACAAGTCACAACAACATACCTTCAACGTGCTTCACCTTTCACTGAAGTGAGTGCAGAACTCAGACCATTCTCGGACCCCCAGCCGCGAACACTAAAGCTCCCCTTCGATGTGCTTGATGCATCCAGTCGTTCCGGGTTTGCCAGCGCATGGCTGCAAGGCACCTCTGTTGCTGCTGTGCGCTCGTAGAGTCGTATTGTATAGTGCTCACCTGAACCTGTGCCATCGTCAAGTCAAGCCGACTGCAGAGGCTCTTAGCTAGGAGATCGAGTGTGAGCTCGCAGGCAAAGACATGGACGACTGGTCGACGGACCCGGTGGCTGCGCCCGTGCAGACCGAGCTGCATGCGATAGAGTCCGGCAGGGGCCACAGAGTACCACAGGGAGAGGGCAAGCAATAACGAGCTAACAAACATCTGGAGAAAGGATGGAGGTCTGAAGACTTTCAGAAGTGTAGATTTGTTCAGGTTCAGGCGGCCTGGGCCACCACGTCTCGGCGCCTTTGGAGAGCCCTGGTAAGGCCCAGGGCCCAGGCGACTGCAATGGCGCCGAAGTGCAGAGGCGGTGGAGGGGGGGGGGAGGGGAAAAGGAACATCCACTCTTGCGACTCGTGCATCGATGAATCGCGCTTCTTCAGCTCGGTGTGGGTGTCTTCGATTCATGAATCGCCCTTTGCTTTGGGTCTGTTTCGTCTCTTTCTCCAGGCTTCGCGAGGAGAATGCAATGCTGCGCGCACAGGTGCGGGAACTGCAGGCCGCAAGCTTGGAGAGCTCATTAGGGCCATTAGGGGTCTGGGTCTGGTCCCGTGCCGGCTCTGCAAGAGGGAAGTCTCTTGTGCAGAGTGCAGGTGGTGCTGGCCACCGGAGTCCTCACCGAGATCGCCAGGCTTTCCCTGACATCAGCCCCACTGTTTCGGTATTTGGCCTTTGCATATGTGCACCATTGTGCACCCAATGTGGTTTCTCACACGCATGCATGAGTTCTCCTTCAGGCTTCGGGAGGAGAACGAGGAACTTCAGCTGAAGAGTGCAGTCGTGGCCGAGAGCTGGATTGGCAAAGGGTGAGCGGCTCGGTTGTGGGCAGTTGCCTTGCTTTTGATAAAAAGAGTAAGCTTATCGAGGTGGAAAGGGCCGGCGGCTTTGCTCCAGGTGCCTTTGACAAAAGCCGGCGTCCTTTTGGATCTCCCCTTTTTGTACTTCCGTAGATCTCCCGCTCGGGCAGGCGCCCTACGACCTTTTCCTGGTCTTCTCGATCAAGGCTTGAGGGCATGTAGTCCATGAGGTACTGGAGAAGCAGTGCAGTGCATCAGAGGCTGCAGAGATTACCGCCTACTATGGCTTCTCGTACATCTTCGTGCAGCTGCCTCAGGCTCAGGTGCTTGCGCACGGCTTTATCTCCCCTGCGCGCTGTAGGTCCTATGTCTCAGACGAGTATGGCATGTCTGACGAAGAAGCTGGAAGACTCTACGGGGCCTACGGCTTTGCCTGCACAGGCTCTGAACTCTGAGATGCGGCTTGCTGCGCGCCGCTGAGATGTGGAGACCGGGACAGGTGTTGGGCTCCTCCTTGGCTTCCTTATCGATCGACTCGGCGTGCGCCGATCGATGCTGCTGGGCCACGTCCCCAGGAAAGACTAGGACGCATATGAGCTTCGCTGCTTGGCAGTGCTATGCAGTGCATGCTCCAAGAGCGGTGGGAGTCGGAGAGAGAGAGCTAGATTAAATCTTGCCTGACCTGTCAGGCTGCACCTGTTCCACGCTCTACCGGGCAATTTGCGCTCTTGCTTCTTCAAGGCATCCTTTCGGTGCTCGCTTTAGTTTGCAACTGCCTGTGACTCGCTCCCACATTTGTAGAGTTGAGACGCTTCACTCGGGCGAGGCAGCTGATGTGGTTTTCCACCATGACGTTTGCTCCGGTGGGCGCGGCCTTTGGCGTTCCTGTGCTAGCTCTTGCTGTGCGGCGATACACGCACAGGCAACCGGACGGAAAAAAGCGGATGTTTCAGCGGGGTTAGTGTCTTTGTTCATTGGTCATGCTGGACCGTTGTGGCCCAACTTTGTGCAAGAACTGCCGGTCAGCAAGACATGATATCATTCACACGACCGGGCTTTCTCCAGCCTGATTCATGCGCAGTGCAACTTGTCGTTCTCTGAGTCTCTACGAAAATCTGAGCAGAAGACAGTGTCAGCCAAGGGAGAATCGTGCTTTTGCCTTCTCCTTCTTCTACTCAATGCTTTGCCTGGGCTGCCTGCTGGGCCGTGCGCTTACTCTTCGTTCTTTGATTAACAGGCTCCTGCAGAGAGGGATTTAGAGTGCAATCGCATGTTTCGCTTGACTTCGCATCTCCTCGCCCTCCCGCGTTTTGAAGGCTCAGTTCTCATCAACATTGTCCGCGATGTCCTCGTCGACGGGACAGTAGTGCTCGGCGTTTGGGCCCAAGCTGCTGCGGCGATTAGCCGTAGCGCAGACGCTCGTTTGGGGTATTTCTTTCGTGTTCTGCTATTCTGCTTGGGTTCTTGTGTTCGGAACTGCTGCTGTTGCGGTGCTGTTGGCTGCCTCTTGTGAGGCTTGTGTGAATCACATTACAGCTTCTAAAATTCTACAACATGCCCGTCTGGGGTCGGTAGTCCTTGGAACTCTTTGTAGGTGAAGCTGAGCTGGATGAGGATGGTCCTGTGGATGCCCTTTGGCTGGATCGTGCCGAAGTTGAAGCGCTGCAGCCCGGATCCGTGTGCACAGTTGCTAGCACGAATGAGGTGTACGGCGTGCACGTTCTACACGGTCATTGCTTCTCTCTTCGTGCGGGACATCCAGATCCTTTCTGACATGCCCCTGAAGGACTGATGAAATTGAAAGTTCTGTTGAAATGCTTCTGTTGAAGCTCTCGGAGAGTCCGGAAGATCTTAGAGTTGAGATGATCACGGGTTCCAGGGCGAGTTGAAGCTTACGGAGATCAATTACAATCATGGGGGCTCCAGTGGTCTTTCACTTTATTTGTGTTCTTACATCTTCGCCTATCTCCGTCGTGCTGCTGGCAGGATCGAGAGTACTGCAAGTTCAAGCCTGCCAACTTCCAGGTTGGCGAAAAGAATTGCTCCTTTTTGTTTACGTGGGCGTAGGACGCTGCGTGTGTCGTAGGTCCGGCAGACCATCAAGGAGATCATGGGCCAAGCCAAGTTCTGGCGCTTGGCCGGGATCACCGGGATCTTCATAGGCGGGGAGCCTGCGGTGTCTGGCGGCTTCCTGATTCACATGACAAGCAGGTGTCCGAATGACCTTCCGGCACTTGGATGCCACGTTCCCGAAATACTTTATTCGAACTTATGGACCGCAGGCATGGCAGGGCGCCATCCGAGTCTATCTTCATTTGTGATCACCGCCGGCGTGACAGGCCCCATTTGAGATCATCCTGGGCATCAACCCTATTGTCGAAATGATCGGGACACCTTTGATGACTGGCCTTCTGCTGACTCTCGGGAGCAGCGGCAGCGGCGCATTTGCAGCGACATCGCAGCCAGTCGCAGAGTGTTGAGTGTGTTGAGAAAAGGAAATGGAACACCACGTTGTCCCAGAAGCTGCCCGGACCTCGGACGTTTAGCTGGAGAGAGCCTCGCGCTTAAGCGATCAAAAGAGTGCTCACTTTGAAATGCAGGCTATGGGGATCCTTCATCTCCGGCATCTCCGTCTTTGCGCTCGCCATCTGGGAGTCTTACCTGGGTGCGGTGGTTTTCGTCTTGGTCCTTTCTCTCGGAGACACTGGGCCGTGACATCAAGCCTTGTCTCGTCCAGAGGGTCGCAGCTCAGACCAAGAGTGCCTAGGACACCATCTGGTCGCCCACGCTTTACGAGTTTTCGACGATGGCAGCCACTGAGGGCAAGGACCGCCGAAAGCCGACAAAAAAGTCCGAGGAAGTGGTGCTGCACAGCACTTTGCTGCCCTCTCGTTTTTGAGGAGGGGATGTTTTTGGCAATCACCATGGCGCCCATGTACTTGGCAGCGCTTCCCGTGGGCCTGATCTCAGGCGCTGAGAGAGACGAAGGGACCCAAGGGACAAGGGCGCGGGTCTTCAAAAACCGATGTGTGTCCAGAAAGGGCGGGTGTCGCGTTGGTGCCACACCGAGGAGCAGGCATCATGAGCATCATGGAAATTATGGGTTCCCTCATCCGAATCATCTGTGCCTTTTGTACCTGCAACATCAATTCCCGTATGCGCCAGCAGAGATCACAAGACTATGTGCGGCCGTGCGCTGCTCCGGACAACTCAGGAATGCTCAGCATGACCATCCTACTGGTGGACTTCGGTGCGCTTGTATTTGCAGTGGCAGGTCTTGAGTGGACAAGAGATCGCAGCATCATCGGGGAGCTGTTTCTCCTCCTATTCCTTTGTCCAACAGCACGCATCATCAGCATCATCCGGGTGATTTTGTTTTGGGCCCTTCGAAACACCCTACATGCTGTCAATGCAGTACCAGTACGTGCTACCCGAAACCCAGCAGCGCATCACGAGCATCATTCGGGTGATGTTTTCCGCATCCTATTCGTCTGGTCCAAGAAATCACAAAAGTCCGTGCTCGGGAGCCGAGCAGCAACAGTGCCTGAGAGGTGTTGGTGTGGCCGAAGCTGCTCCAATGGGATCTGAAGGGTTTCGTCGTTTGTCAGCCAGAGCTCCAATGGGGCTTGAAAGGTTTCGGTGTGGTAGGGGAGAGAGGGACAGTGCTCCAATAAAGGGTTCGGGGTGGCAGTTGCAAGGGCAGCGCTTGCGTGGTTGGGGGAGACGTGCTGGTGGGTGCACTGCAGCGCCGCAGGGTGGTAGTTGTCGAGAGGTGTGGGTCGTCGAGGAGGGCGGTCGCTAGACGGGAGGATGATGGTCATGCGGGCTTGTTTTCCTGTGATGTGAAGTTCTGCAGGTTGGGCGTTGGGGAACTTCTGTCCCCAGAATGTCAACCCGGAGGAGAGTTGCGAGAGCCGGGGCACCTCCACTGCAAGCTTTGCAGTTCAGCTCCTTGTTGCCGAGGAGCGGCGCTCACAGCTGATGTGGTTCATCATCGGAATCACAGGCTCCGGCAAAGAAACATGTGATTTCGGAACTGTCTCGCTTGCCTCTCTCTCTAACGAGCGCTTCTCAGCCTGTCAGGATTCGTGTCTCCTGTCGCGCTCTGGTTCTTCCAGAAGAAACTGATCCTTCCCGAGGCCGGTGTGGCCTTCGAGTAGAAGAGCTGAAGACTCCAACTTAGTTCCCCCCCCCCTCTGCTCCACTGCCCTTAGAGGCGGTTTAAAAGACACCATGCAAGGATCTGTTCCGTCTCATTTCTGCTGTGTTCAGGATGAGAATGCCGGCGAAAAGGAGCCCTCTTTGAGCAAAAGATTACTACAGAGCCTAGCGGCTGCAATCCTGATGGCCGATGCTGCGAGGAGTTGGAGAGAGACGAGGGCGAGGGGGAGTACCGTCAGACGAGAAGGCTGTGGCGCGACTTCGGCAGATGTGGGCACAGCTTGTGGCTCTGTCAGACTGTCAGGCTCAGAGATGCAGGCGATGCAGTGGGCCAGTCCCCCGCAAGTACTCTCCAGGAGGCCGGCTGCAGTTCGGATGAACCTCCATTCTGCAAAAGCAGCAGCCAGCAAAAGGGGACACTGTTGATCAGAACAAGGGGCGGTGCAAGCAGGCACTTCCACCCTCCCACCATTTTTAACTCCAGGATGCCAGTGATGGGTTCGCCTCAGAGCGTGCGGTTGGGCTGAACGTCGTGTCGCCCAGAATGTCGAGTGCGTCTTGTCGCACCCGGAGGAATACCTGCGAGCTGAACCCAATTCTCACCTTTTGCGCGCTGAGTGTTCGGGACTCCGAATCGGTAGACTCCTTTTTTTGGGAGTGACCCTTTTGGGAAGCACTTCTCACATGGCAGAGCCATAGGCCCAACCACAGGCCGTCTTCCACAGTTTGTGGTGATGTAGGGCTCCATCAATGCGAGACTTAATGCCAAGCCTTGGTATCGGTGTTCCGACGCCGATAGCAGGGTCTCTTTGAGGCTCGGGATTTCTTGCGCCACCATGGGCTTCTGCGATGACCTGTGCCTGCTGCCACTGCTCAAACTTCGGCGGCTTCGCGAGTCTGAGCTCCTCACTGCTAGCTGCCAGCTGACCCAGTCTTTCATCCGTTTCCTTGTCCACTTTGGCCTTCACATAGTCCTGGGTCAGGGTGGTTCTACCGGGGCAGCGCGAGCATAATGAAGCATTGGGCTCCTCCACCTGGCCAACAACTCAACACGCCTCCGTGCGGAGTGCCCGCCAAGAAGTTTCAACGGCCGTGATCCCAGCTGCTCTCTGCCGCGCCTTCTAGCTCTCCCCACGACGGCCTCCCCTGCTCCGAAGGGAAGAATGGGAGACCGGGCGGGAGAGACCCGTCCGAGTCCGCGCAGCGCGACACCAACATCCGTCGTAGCATGATACGGGCATGGTCAAGAGCCCTTCGCTGTGCACGTGCAACCCCACTCGCGCATAGTGTTGAGTGCTAGAGCGTCACACTTGCTGCTGCTGGGAAGCAACCACCTGACTACAAGGGCAGCTTCATCAACCTCCTCGTTTGACAACAATGACAGGCTAGCCTCAATTGTCAATCTCTCGCAGCATGAAGTAGACGCTCAGGAGGATCATGTTCTAGGGTTCTAAAACAAACAACCGATGTCTGTTTGGTGTGACAGGCGTCGTGCTTTCGGTATGTTCGCCAGTGCCAATTCAATCTACTACTTCCCGCGTAACAGGCGTAACAAGCACTTTAGGGTCTAGAACCCAAAACACCGGTTGACAGTGCAAAACCATGCGTTTTCCAACATTTCTCAAACGAATGAACATATTTTCTGAGCTTCCACAATGCAGCACTGATGCACACGAAGCATCGGCATACAAGGTGCAAAACCACCGAACAGGGAACTACGGGAGATTGAAATCCGAGAGTATGATTCAGTATGATGTACGAAACACCGACGCTGAAAGTGAGGTAAGCTGCCTGCGCCAGCATGTCAGGGGACGACGTTGGTCATCGGCCGACCTTTGCCCGATGAAGTTGTCCCCGAGGACATGGCACTGAAGTGAGGATGCCAGCTACCTTCCGAGAGCACCGCGTGCAGCGGACTTGAATCCTTAGGTGCTTGGACGAGGTGCCCTTATAGCTTTAGGTCGTGCGCTACGCGAGCTGCTCTGCAATACCTTGTCTGGTCGAAAAGAGACCGGGCAAGTGGAGCTCACCTGAAGCTTCCCGTTAATGTGCTGCTTCGGCCACAGTGGCTTCGGCTCACGAAGCTTGGCAAGATGTAGAGCAAAATCGCTGCTCGCGCACCTGCGCTGTCTTTCTCTCTCGCCCTCTCACTCGATCTTGCTTTTTGTTCAGATGCTCAGGTGAAGCTGGACAAGAAGTATCAGACGGCGGACTGGAGAGAACGGCCGCTTTCCACGGAGCGCTAGCTTTGATCAATTGGCACCGCCTCAAACGTTCCCACATAGAAATGCCAGTGAAGGAGATGGTCCACTACGCTCGGGCATGAACCTGAGTTGGCCGCGAAGATCTCACGCAGTGGAATTTGCCTGGGCACTTCATGTCATGGCGCTCCCCGGCCTCTTCCATTGTTGTGTTGTCTGCATAAGGCCGACACACACTACCTGCTCTTCTGCTCCTCGGCAAAGTCGCGTGCGCCGTGTTTCACCTGCCTTTGCTTGCAGTGGAGAGCGTTCTAGGGAGTCTTGCTTGGGGAGACTTCCGGTTGCGAGTAGATCCGAGAACCTGTGCTCGTTGATCTGCCTGCACTTCATACCTTCACCGAGGCTACGACTGCCTGAAGAACGCTCTCTTGGCGCAAAGCGGAATGGCAGTGCCGGTCCCGGAGTGGGGCAGGAGGCTGGCGACCCAAGAGATTCTTCATCTGGCGCTGAGTCGAAGAGTGGCGTCAACGTCGGCATGGCGGCGTCGGACACTCCCAGAGTCTGAGAAGAGCTTGGGCTGTGTTTTTGGGGAGCCTTGGAGGCTCGAGAGCGGCGAAGTCGAGGCGACCGAGGAAGGAGCCGCAGCCTCGTTTTTTTTTTTGGCCTTCGCTGCCGCCGTCGGTGCTGCCGTTTCTCGGCGAAAGGTGCAGAATCTTCAAGCTGTCTTGCAGAAAAGTTCTTGGCCTACAGCTGGGGAGACTGAGCCCTTTCGCTCAGTTTCTGGGTTCCGCTCCTTCAGGTGCTGCCTTGTGCAGCCAAGTTTACAAAGAGGTGCCTCTTGACGCTGGCGAACACGTGCGCGACTCAGGCGGCTCTGGGCATGCCGCTCTAGAATCGCCTCAGCGGCCAAGGCATCCTCGCTGTCCGATCGATTTGGATCAAGACAGCGTCCGTTGAATCCGACGCAGATGGGTGTACTCAAGGCCTACCTGGCTCCGGAATGGCAACAGCATGACGTTGCAGCTGCTAGCGTCAATCTGACGAGGCACTCATCGACTGGCGTGATCAGCTCGCACGCAGCATCGACGAGCCCAGACCTCACGGCACTCCTCAGGGTGTGCAGAGGTTAGAAAGCCTGACGGTCAGCCCGGATGCAGCCCGCTTGCAGAGCACGGGGAGGTCCCTGAACTTCGTGGCGCCCGACGCCTGCCTCTGGCGAGTTTGCCTTGCCATGCCCACCTCGCCGGCCGGCCCAGCGACTGCGAAGCGACTGCGAGGAGAGTGCGAGACGAGAGGAGAGATCAGGAAAGAGAGCCGAAGATGCACGAAGAGAGACCCCCCCAGGCCGGTGAAGCTGCGCAGCAGCCTCGGAGCCCATCACCTTTGAAGAGACTCCAGTAGAGGATTGGATCTCTTTATCCCTTGGCTCCCTTCTCTCAGGGAGCACCTGCAATCCTTTGCCGTCCACGCTGCAGCAGCATGCGCAGGAGGCGACCACGGCCACGTGTCCCGGCACGCAACGGACGCGCGCGCTCTCCGCAGCCTGTCTCACAGGTCGTGGACATCATCATCAAGTCTCAGCATCTCGGGGTCGGCCCTGTCGTGAAGCTCCCGGCTTCGGCTTCTTGGCCGCAGGAAGAGCGAAGGCCTAGGCATCCCAGGCCCTAGGCCCTAGAGGAGGTCGCAAGACGAATCCCTCAAAAACTCGAAGGAGCGCCCGGCCGAACCGGCGACCGCTTCGCCCCGGGAGTCCCTGCCGAGCCATGGCCTCATCCGCGAAGAGAGGACCGCGTTGAATGTCGGCTGTGCATCGAGTGGATGCTGGGAACTGAGGCCCAGTGGAGTCAGAGGACCCTACAGCCGCCGAGGCGCCACAAGAAACTCCCGTTCCTGCCGCCGCCATGGCTGGCCTGCAGGTGCCAAATCGAGTGGTGCTGGAAGCCTGGCCAGTCCGCCCGGTGCCGAGAGGGCCGGCGAGACATCGGATGTCCATGACGCATCGCGACGCGGGCAAAACACGCGGTGCCCTCCTTTGTCCCCAAAGGGCTGGAGCAGTCGCCACGGCCGCTGGTGCCGTGCTGAGCTGTGCACTACTCGCATGCTCAGGTCATGTCTGAAACGTGTTCTTCTGCAGGTGCATGTGGCCGCCAGCTTCGGAAACCGGCAAGGTGCGAATGTAAGCGGAGAGCGACAGATTCATGAATCATGGATGCCCACCTCCAAAGTTGCAGGCTCCAGCGAATCCAGCCGCAAGCGCAAGCACGAAGCCCGGCTGGTCATTTCTGCATCGCTGCAGGCGTGTATACTTTGCCCTTCTGGGGACCGCGCTTGGACGAGCGTTTCCTGACCTCTCCTGATCTGAGAGGGTTCTTTGGACCGAGTGAGGGCAGAGCAGTGGGCTGAGAGGAAGGCGGGATGACCTTAGCGATTCACAAGCCGGCTTGGGAAGCCCATCGATGGGCTCTGCAGGATCGAGTCGCAAGATTCTCTGCGAACATCCATGAGTCCAGTAGTCTGGCAAAGGCCAATGAGGCCACGAAATGAAGGTGAGAGGAGTGTAAAGGGCGGAGATCGGGCACACATTTCGGTGTATACAGGATCGGGGAACTCGAGTCGCTGCCTGCTCTAAGGTTCTCCGTGCTTTGTGGCGACTCCTCCGAAGGCGAGGAGGAGCCGCTCTTTTTTCAGGTGGTCTTCTTAAGGGATGTCATTGAAGTTGCCATAAATGTAGGGATCTATAGTAGACAGTATGGTGTCCTTGTTCTGGTAACTTAAATTAGATCCCCGTACCAAGAACCCAGAAAAGCCAGGGCCCAAATGCGATAGTCTGACTGACGCAGGAGCCTCTCGCGGGCGGTCGGGGACTTTCAAGTGGGGACGTCGGCTCGATGCGACCCGCGGAGTGAGCTCCTTGCAAGGCGATGGCGTGAAGTCTTCGTCTGAGAGTGATTGCAGATCCTGCTGTCGGTAACTTGCTGCCCTAATGCCTCTCGGTGAGAGTGCCAGTCGGCAGTCATCCCGTTGATATAGCAGCCTGGCAGTAGCCCAAACTGTGCGGGGGCGCGGGCATTCTGCAGCGTTTGGGCTTCAGGGATGCTGGCTGCTACCGTCTGTTCATGGCTGCAATCGTCGAGTATGCGAAGTCAGGGCGATCGCAGTGCTGCGTGTGCTGCCATAAAATTGCCCTGGATGCGATTCGCTTTCGTATGCCGCTGGAACCAAAGTGGCGATGCCTGGAATGCTATGCCACGCCGGTCGTGGAGCAAGAGCCCGAGACCGAGATAGAATGCCAGGGCGCGGGCAAACTGAGCACAGAGGATCAGCTTCTCCTGGCCGAGCTTCTTCAGACTCGTCTTAAGGCCAGGCTCGGGGCCCTCTGGCTCCGGTCTGAGGAGCACCGAGGTCTCAGGCAGTGCGCGCGTGAGTGGGCGCGCAGCGAGACGGAGTCAGACTCTGCCTCCTCGCGTGTGGAGAAGCCTCGGACAAAGAAGAGGAGGATGCCCGCAACTACGCCCCGATCTGGCGAAGCACAAGATGAAGCACTGTAGATCGCAGCCTTTTCCCGACCATGACGTTAATCGCTGGTGCGGCACCCGAAGACCAAAGTGTACAGCCAAGACTACGTCGATAATGCTGACGCTCTAGGTGGCCAGACTACATGGCAGATCGTGATAACTTAAGCGACAGTGCTGTTTTCAAACGAGCTCAAATGCTGTTTGCGCCACCCGAGCAAGCCGCATCAAGCCTGTTTCGGCAGGGACGGGGATAGGGACCTGGGGAAGAAGTCCTGCAAACAGAAGATCTGGCAGAGTGGAGGTCCAGAAAATCACGGCACTTCGCAGCCTGCCGACACGTGGCCGGTGTTTGATGTTGTGCCGGTCTCTTGGCATGATGCCTCGAGGCCACAAAAGGGGCGCGCGAGGGCCGGGGCCTTGGCAGGAGCTCCGCTGGGAGCGCAGAGCGTCCTTTGAGTCGTGATCCGAGGTCATCAGACGGAAGATCAGCCCCTCGGCACAGAGTCGGTCGTAGAAGTCTGGCGCCTCGGTTAGCTGAACTCAGGTTTTGCATCTCCCGCTCCCCCTGCCGCTGTAATTGCTGCGAAAGCACCAGAACCTCCCGCCAGCGCGGCGGTGAGTGAAGCGCCGGGCGGGGGCCTAAGAAAGGCTCAAGACTGCCATCTTTGTCTTACGTGCTTCAGCCTCGCGTCCACACACTTCGCAGCTCAGGTGCAACCGCCGCGAGCTCCTAAGCTTTCGCAACTCCAAGTTCAGGCGCGGCGCCGCCATTGAGTGACTATATTGCAGGTTCCCGAGACGGGCTCGGAAGTGCCCCCGGAAGTCCCGGCGCCGCTCAGAAAGCGGAAGAAGAAGCGGCCGAGACCTCAACGCCGGTGACGACTGCATCGCTGCACTTCCGAAAATGGCCCAGAAGTCCGAGGCGGCGTCCTGGTTTAGTGGAGGCGTCCGAGGCCGTCGAGGTGGGATGGACCGGCCTACCGTGGGGCGACGTATTTCCCATAAGCGCCGAGGCCGAGCCCGAGGTGAAGAGCGGCACGGCTCCGGCTCCAGCTCCAGCTCCGGCTCCTGCCGCAGCCTCGGATGCCTCGGATATTTCTGAATCGGGCGAAACCTTGACTTCGCTGCCGCGGCCTTGCCAGGCCGAGGCAGTGGCAAAGCCCGCTGCCAAGCCGCCGGCTGGTGCCCCAGCGATGGGATAGCGATTGTTTTCGGTACGCTCCCTCGGCACAGAGCATGGGCCTCGGAGTTGTCCACAGCTCGGCACAAAGATGGATCCGCCCCAACATTTGCCCATGCTTTCCGAACGGTGATCTCGACCAACGTACCAATGCAGCCAACGGCCAGAAGGTTGAGAATGCCCGATGTACCAGTGCACGGGTCCATGGTGGTGGAACAGAATGGCATAATCCTGAGATTTTCAGCGCTTCACGGATTTTGAAACTAAAACTCGGCTTCGGAATCCCTCGGGCAACGCTTGTTGTTTCACGGAGTCCCGAAGCTTTTGGTGAATCCCGGACTGAGTTAAATTGGGCCCCCCCACAGCACGTCTATGCTGCAGGCTCCTGTTGTGTTACCTCGTCGCGTTTGCTGGACATGTTGGCATTTCATGCATATGGGCAGTTCTCTAAATTGAGGTCCCTTTTTGGGTCCCCAATATAGTACGGCACCCTTAATAAACGGACCCTAAAAGGGACCCCACTTTTGAGAACCTCTCATATAATCACAGAACTCTGCTTGCGCGATTAACTGCAGGCATTGCCTCCTGCGTGTGTGGGCAAAAATTGGAGGGCGAACCTCAGCGTTTGGAAGACGCCCTGCAAGTCATCGATCACCGGTCCATCATGAGATGGAGTCCAAATCCCTCGTTCGTCACTTCCTCACAAGACATGAGAGAAATCCCTCTTACAGTCACTGTTGCCATCCGACCTGACTACAGTCTTCCACATTCGGCCATCGGCGAGACTCGTTATCCTTCAGATTGTGCTCACGATCCGCGATGCCAAGTGCAAACCCCCCTTTTTCGGCCCCCAAGCGGCCCAAGCCCCACCGCCCCCCCCTCTGACCCGCCGTTCCTGCGAAAAGCCATGGGTTCTTTCGCCGATCGCGGAAGCGTATAGTCTTGCCAGTCAAGTATCAGGGTATGACAGATCTGCCAAGGCCGCAGCAGTGGCCCAGGAGCCGGTCGGGAGCTGAGCTCGGGGGACGAGCTGTGTAGCTTTGTTGGTCGAGGCGCCGAAAACAGGCACCGGAACGGTCCGTGGCCCAGTTCGCAAAGTCACATACAGTACTTCTCCTTCCTGCATCTTCCTGTATGGCTTGTGCCACGGTTCAGCAATCCAAGGCCGATGCAGCGGTTCCCAAAGCGCCGGCTTCGGTCGGGGACCTGGCTGGGTTGCCCTGTCGCCATTCTGGGCCCTGGGGAGGGGGGACTCGTGGAGGCTCTCGATCCCCGCCCCAAGAAGCGGAAGAAAGTGGTCAAGCGCACGCAGGCGGGTGCGGTCGAATTGCGAGATGTTGCGAGTTCTGCAATCCCTGGTCGAATCCCAAGGAGATGGTGGTGGACCCCTACTTGTGAGAGGTGTGCGCCTCGATGAGCCAAGCCATGCCAACTCTTTTTGCGCCCGTTCTTTTTTTTTTGTCTTCTGCAGCGCCCGAAGGCTCCGGAGACGGTTGCGGAGACGGCTGCGGCCGGGGCGTTCCGGCCAACCGGAGGAACAAAAACATTGGGGGGGGGGGAGCCTCTTGAGCTGTTGGCATCAGATCATTGCCGGTCATTGCAGAAGATCGCTGTCATGGTTTCATTCAGCAGAGGCCGACGAAGAGCCATGCTCGCAGCAGTTTCAAGTGCTCAAAAACCAGTCAGCCAGCCCAGAGCAGCAAGTTTGCCAGCATAGATCAGCTACTGCGCACATCCAAGTCCTAAGAGGATCGGAGCAGGTGGGAGTCCGGAGATCATGTCATTCTACCTCGTTCGTTGTGTCAGTTGCCAGGCAATCATGGGTGGTGACGATCGAAGCCCGAGCCGCGGAAAGTGGCGGCCACAGTCCTGCGAACAACGAACCCAGTGGCTCCCAACGGGTTGCGCAGCCAAGAGCTCGCAAGGTAACTAGAGCCTGAGCCCCACCAATTCGAAAGGTATGCAGACTCCTACAGACAACCTCAAGACTTGTAGGTAGGTAGAGCGGAAGTGTTGACCGCGCAGGTCTGTCATGATCACTTCAACGTCTCTTGTTCTTCGTGATGCAGAGCACGACTCTCCTCATGGACACTCGAGAGCAGTCCCTGACGGCCCTCCGACGTCCCCATGGAATCCGTTTTCATCTCCGTCGCACCTTTCGGACTTCAAGCAGGTCGGTGAAACCCCTAAGGCCTGAGGCCCTAAGTAAGGCCCCAGTGGTGCAGATCTGTGCAAGTGCGATTCGTGCCGTGAG